CTGAATGCTTTGATATACATGCATATGTTTACGGATTCCTGTACCTTAAATAATTATACATTTAAAATACAGTAAACAAATACATTAAATAATTATTTTAGCATTTAATTAGGCACACATCTTGTAATTACTTATTTTACATTGCTTATTAAAAACTAAAATTTTCTGGAAAAGTTCACAGGCTCGTTTCATAAAGTAAACCTGTCCTTTAGTTTTTATTTTCTCCATGAACAACAAATATTAAAAAAAAAGGGAAAACAGACAAAATTCCCCTGAATTACATTCATCAATCTCTATAGTTTTCCAGCAACAAAAAAAGGATAATCCAGTCACCTCCGTGTAATTCCGCAAGTGACGCTTTGTTAGGAACTCATAATCGGGTATTTATAACGTCAAAAGTTTGGCCTCGCGAGCAAAGTTTTCGAGACGCTGTCCCGTGCTTTCCGCTAACCAAAAATAACTTTTGGCATAGAGGAACTTTGCTACCACTTTCCCTCTGCAGAGCTCTGGTTATGGTTATGGTACTGGTACTGATTCTGGTTCTGGGTCAGCCGTTTCCCTTTGGCGGGCTGGCAGCATTATTAAAGCAGACTAAACTGCGTCACAATGTCGTCAACTTGGGAGACCGGAAATTGTTTTGACGTTTGTTGTGGTTTATAGCCCAACTGATTCGCCATCTCAGCCCTGTCCTCACCCGGGTGGTAGTAGCAACAGGAAGTTATGCCCCAGATCTGAACCTCAACCCTTTAATGGTAACCATAGTTTTTGTTTTTTTTTCCCCTCGACTCTAAATGAGATTGCGGTCCTGTCGCTTAGCTGTTATTTCAGTTCGTTAGCATAAATTTGTGTTGTGTTGTGCTGTCTGAACCACACGAAATTCGAGAGAGTCCTGAACCTAATTATCCTCGGCAGCCGGCAAAGAGTCAACTTTCCATGCAAATGAGTTTAAAATTGTGCACAAAAAATACAAAATAAAGAAAAGCTGAAAAAAAAAGACCGAGAAAGAGCAAAATGCTTAATGAATGCATTGCGCAAATTACGCTGTGGAAGCCACAAGATTGCGTGACGCTGCCTTCAGAAGTCGGCTAGCAATCGAAGGGCAAAGGGGGGGAGGTGAGGTGGCGGTATCTCCTGGACGAGTTGAAAGTTCAAACGCTCCACAGAGTGTCACGGAATTGCTTATTTTTGCGCTTTGGCTTTGGCTTTGGCCGAAGGTCACTGCGACCGACTTGACCCTGCCCGTTGATTGTTTTGTAAATAATAAATGGTTAAATAATTATTTGTGTATTTACACTTTGGGCATTATTCTTTTGCAAATCGATTTTCAGATATATTTGAACTTTATTGCGTAGCCGACGTGTGGGACGAGCTCAAAGGGCAGTCACGAGGAAGTATTAGCTTGACAGCTAAGGTCATTGTTTAATGTATTGAAAGTGTTATATATATTTTTTGTAATCTGTACAAATTTTGTATACTTCTAAGAATTTTTTAAGCCTTAAATTAGTCCGCATTTAAAAATATTTTTGAAACTATAGCTATTTAAAATAAGCGATTTATAACCAGGTTATTCCAGCAATGCTAGGAGTTCTTCTGGCAAAATATGGTCAAGTTAACAACTGTATCTGTAGTTTATCTTGTTTTTTATTAAGCTTAAACTATTTTTACTGTTTCCTTAATATATGCTTATAAAAATATAAAAAGTTCATTCATTTGATTCCATTGCTTCTATTTTTTTTTTAATTATCGCAAAAAAACGTGGCAATCTGGACCGGTTAATCCCTTAAGCACAACCCTTTTTCCTTTTATTTCATATTAAAAACCCACCTAGTCCTCCACTTAAATACAAAAATAAACAATTTAAAAAAATAAGAAACAAAAACAACTAAAAATTACATATAGCTTGCATGTAATTGACATGGAGAATGCATGTGAATACAAATTGATTGTATGAGCGTGTACCATTCGCTACATTAATTCGATTGAATCGATTTTCTTTTTTGCAGGGAATAGGACAAGCTGGATTTGATTGAGCAATCCCTTTTTATCCACATCAAATCAGGTAAAAAACGTAAACACAAATATTATTCCATTTCGTTGGCAATCAAAAACTGTATGGTTTCAGAACAAGCAAGCGGAAATTAAACTAAAAGTTGTCCAAGCGGAATATATATGGGACAGACGAGGCATAACAATTAAGTCTTGCTGGGTAAATAAACCGAAAATAATCTTAATCAACCATCTGACCTACGAGAAAGCATTTAAAGTCCAGGCTCACCTGTTTGTTTAAGCTTTATACCGAGTATGTAGGCCCACATATATCTGTGAGACGAGGCACCCATTAATATGCAGGAGAGCGGAGGAGCTTAGGGCATGGGGCACCGAGAACATATCATACAACGAACATGTTTATTTGGGTCATTATGTAAACAGGACAGGATGGACAAGGAGCAGGACGAGGACCAGGACTAGGACCAGTACTACAACCACGACCAGAGTATGGGGAGATTGACCCCGGTCTAGTAAATATGATAAATGGCTGGTCTTTGAACCCCAAATGATGCATATAATACCTTAAGTTGGTTAGCCAGGTTCTCGAGCTTGTCGGTAGCTTTGGGAGCAAAAATCACAATGAACCGGCGCTGGGGAGCAATGTACCCACTCTTGGTTGCCTTTCCACCCCTTTTTTCCACCGAATTAACAATGCAAATCCTGGCAATAACTTTTGTAGTGCCTATTTATAGGGGCTTTGCCTTCGCCTATCCTGCATTTGCATATGTGTCCAGGCAGGGGGAGTGAGTTTTGGGGGACCCAGGGGTGTGTTTTACGACTGAAATATGCAACAGCAGAAACAGCAGCATCAAACTAATAGAGTCTTGGAGTTTTGCATATTTCCCCGAAAATGTAACACGAAAAAAAGGGGAGGAAAATCACCTCGGAATTTGGAGTGTTGTTTGTCGTAAAGGAAACTCACAACTGAGAAGGAAGCTCGTAAAAAGTAAAACATAAATCCAGGACTACACCGAACTAATTTCATCTGCAGAGAAAAATATATAAATAAGGATATCGCTGGTGATTTATGTTTTAAAAAAAATAATGGAAACACTTGAAAAACATATTCACACAAGCTAAAGTCCTACGAAAGACCGTAAATAAATATTTGAAAATTGTATTGTATTCTAAAAATATATTTCTCACCAAAAATAATAAAATAATCTGAAATGTATATACAACACTTCAGGAAGTTCTTTCTCTTCCCTCAAAACTTTCAACTGGTAAAGATAATGCAGCGAGGTATGAGTAAGTGATATTGAAAATTCTTCAGCCGTTGATGGGCTTTCCGGGAAACAGTCTCGGGCTGTTGAGTCAAATATCCTGTCGGGGGGCTCACGACAAGTGCCTGTCATGCTTGGAAATCAAATTATGTGTGCTGAGTTTTTTTGTGGATGTGGCCAACCAGCTCACTCAACGCTTTTCAAGACGAAGAGCAGCAAACTTTGTGATGATTGCACTTTCCAGAGGATACGTTGGATAGCTTCTTTCCCCGAGCTAAATAACATTTTCTAAGAAGGTTACCAACTGTTTGCTTAAGATTTATATTAAAGTTTCTAAAGCAGAAGTTAAGCTAAGATTTAAGAGTTTTCTTCAGCTTATCTCCATTTCCTTGAACCGGATTTCACGAAATAATTAAATCAATTATGTTGAACAAGTTAAGAGCCTTAAATTCGATGGCTAAAATTAATTTGCTGCTGCCGTGGAAATTGGAAAAACCACCTTCACCGTTGACAGTGTTTGTCATTTGCGCTTCATTTAGTTTTGGCCATTGAACAAGCCGCCTCTGAATGCCGGTTGCCTGGCTGCTGTGGCTGATGACGTCTAAATCAGTCCTTGATGGTTAATCTGGCAATGGAGCTCGAGTCTGGGTATTTATTTTCACGCCCCACTCGGTGTCGCCGGAAATTGCCGGAAACGACAGGAGCCCGTTTTTCGGATTTGTAAGTGGCACAAAAAAATGGAGTTGGCACAACTTTTTGTTTCCCCTGCTTCCAGGAATTTTTTGCCTCTAGGCCTCATGAAGCGTATAATAATTTATTATAGCCGATAACGATAATGAAGAGCACAGTGTGTGTTGTGTGTGTTTATGAGCTTGAGAAATGACAGCTGTTGTTACAGACATTGTCATTTGGAATTCACAAGAGACTTGTTTTCAACGAGTTTTATTTGGAAAAAAATGTAATATTTAGGGGATAGGTATTCCTAGGTGTAATGAACGTTTTAAAATCTTTGCGAGGTAATTTTAAAGATTTTATAATGAAGATATATTAAGTATTATCTAATTAATTAATTATATAGAACCCAAATCCTAAATTTATATCCCGATACACTTTATTATCTTCCTAAATTTTGTTTTTAAATAAATTCTTAGAACCTTCAGGCCCTCGGAAAGAGTATTACATCGGTTAATATGGGAAATAAATAATTCTTTATAAATAATTCATTATTAAATCACTTTAGAAATCGTTAGAAGTACCAACTCCTTCCAGTTTCTAGATAATTCGCCCATCTGGGACTTGTGTACATGCGTATAGCCACGTGTCAACACACATTTTTCAAAAGGTATCCTAATGAACCGCCATCTGTGGGATTGTGGTGGCAAAGGTGGGTCAAATAGTGTAAATAGGAATCTCTCATTTGTTAATCGAGACACGCGCACACAAATCAAAATCACAAGTAATACAAAAAACAAAGAGGGAATCCGCATGGCAGGGAATAAGGCACACCTGCGAGAAGTTGCCATCATGTTTATTTGTTCTATTTGGCAAAAGGAAGGAAGTCCTGTGTAGGCTGACAATTTCTTTTATTTGTATTTTTGTGACACGTGCGAAAAAGTCAAAGTGCTCGATGATTATCTGGAAATCTTCATTGAAGCTAGGCTGCTGCTGAGTTATGCCCTAGATCAAAATTTATATTAAATATTTAAAATCCCCACAAAACATTCTTACCTGACCGAGCAAATAGTGAGTATTTGTATTTGTTTTATTGTTTTTCTCCTCCAGTTTACTGCTTTTGATATAATGTTGGCTTTGTTCCTCTGAGTCTTGGCAATTGCTTCTTTTCGGCAAGATTATTTCAATGTCGTCCTTTTCCCAGTGGCCGGGAAGACTCTAGTTTTTCACTTGATTTAACATGCAAAGCACAATTTCACAAGAGCTTCACTTGATGTATGTATGTATGCTCAATTTTTTCTTTCTGTGAGAGCTGATGACATTTTGGAGTACATATCAGGTTAAATTTTCTTTTAGTTTAAAGTTGAATTAGGAACAAAAAAAATTCTATACTATGCAAGTGGGGAGTATTATTTGAAGCACATTTTCTGCACTAATTGCAGCACAATTCACTTGCTTACACGGGGCGTAGACGTTATATTGCGTATACGTTATGTACGCCTTGCCTTTGTATTTTTCGTTCATTTACTGGATCTTCTATAAATATAACAAAAATATATACTTAAATAAACAATAAACATAATTTCTGAACAACATTGTAATACGAAGAATAAATAGAATTGCTTGCTATTTAATATTTCGGGTTGTTCAATATGGTTCTATATCTCATTTAGAATTTTATGAAATTGTTCCTGGAAATGCAATTCATTTTAAACTAAGCAATGCGAGATGGTTGCTATTTCATGATGTGAAATCAGTTCAATCATGCGAGAAATAAACATCAATAGAAAATCAAAGGGAGTCTCGCATTGCATTTCCTATGCACTTAAAATGGCTCTTCTTGACAATGGTATTTTTATTTTAATTAAAATGAGACTTTAGAAATCTCTTAAGCATTTAAAGATTTCAAAATTAGTCTCGTTAATCAACTTTACCTTATTTATAATTAAATTGATTAAATATTTGAGGATTAGTTTCCATTTTTATATATTCCTCAAAAAAGCAAAATAAATGTGCTAGATTTTGTTTGTCATAAAAATCTCACTCAAAACCATTATTAAACATTGAAATAATGTACCCAAAAGCGTTTAAAAATATAAGAAAAACAATATTTAACCTCAAAACAAAAACAAAACTGCACATGATTTATATTTTCAACTTTCTGTAATTGATACTTTGTTGAATAAATCTCTACAAAATATATATATTTCGAAGGTCCCTCTGTACCCTCCTCTATTGTGGTAAATATCCATTGAAACGTTCAGTTCATAAATCACATTGCTCTATTCCGATGTTTTGACATCTCCATGCAGTTTTTCGGAATTTATTGACTTGCACAAACATTTGCATAAATATTTCAGAAATCACGTTCACATCGAACTCGCGAACTCACATTCGTATGGTTGTATATATATATTTCTTCTTTTTTTTCAGTACGAAAACGGATGAAATATTATCCGAATAGCATTCGGTTGCACTTTGGCCGAGAACGCTCTATTTTCACAGTTCGCATTTCGCGTCCGAATCGTTTGAGATGCCGCGACATTCTGACGAAGACCGCCCGAACCAACGCCAATCGTCCGCTGATTTTGGCCAAGTTAACGGACCTAACAGGGTCTAATAACAGAGCTCTGTTGGCCAACAGGCTGGCAGGCAGGCAGGCAGGCTTCCCCCACATCTGCGTCACGTGCTGCTGGCCTTTGTTGTTGCATTGAACTTGAACTAGTGGCGAATTGTTGCTGCTGCTGCTGATGTGTTGTTGCTGCCTTTCCCACATTGGCGCGCATTTTACCGGCTGTTTATTCCTGACCTGGCTTATTCTCACTCTCGGCCCAGTTTACACTGCGCAGGCGCTCTTAATTGGGGTGACCATGTTTCCAAATATTTTTATTTGAGTTTTGGATTTTCTTTGGCACAGTCATAAAATAATGAACAGAAAATATGCTTAGGACTTTATAAACCAGGCAATTCAGACTAAGTATCCAAGGTGGCGTCAACATAGACTGGTTTTAAGTAGAAAACCCTGCGGAAATACAAATATCCATTGCACTCGTTAAACTGATAATAATGTTTATCGTCTGGGACAACTTAGTACTTAATTTTACCAATGGAATATAGAATGAGGGGTTTTGCTGAGCTACGATACCAGCCATAATGTTCAACTTTATTGCAGCGGAAGTTGTTGGCAGTGCGGCGGAAGTTCCGTCAGCTAAGTGCTCGCAACTCGCATCTCGCGCAGCAGCTGCAACGATGATGAGCAGCTGTGGCAGCCGAAAGTAAACGATGCATATTTCATTATTGTTTTTTATGTTTTTTTTTTAAATTCCAACTGACCATATGCATTAGGGTTTCTCTTACACATCCATCTTTTTTGGTTATGATAATAAATAAATGTAATTAAAAGTTTTTGGCTTACAAAATAAATAAGAAAATTAAGTTTTTTAAATTTCTAGAGAAACAAGATATAATTTTATAAGTGATGATATTTAAAAAAATAAAATAAAAGGTAAGTAAATTGGCAAACTGTGGAAACACAAGGGGGAAAGACAGCAATTGGTAAAGGTAATCTTTTAGGAAGTCGTATTAAAGCCTTTTAAAAATATATTGAAAAAAATTTAGTAAAGCTTAAATATATATACATACCTACTACTATAAATAATAAAATATAATAGATAATATTACAAGATATTAATAAATGATAATATAACTATAAATATTCATTTTATTAAGCTCCTATTCAATTTTGTCCGAATAACTAAAGGTCCTCCCTTTCATCTAAATAAAATAAATGTAAAAATATCAACGTCTATAAGATGAATCCCTTAAAGTACACAATAGCTTGTTGCGAACAACTTTTAAATTTATTTCCATCGATTTCCGGCTGTCGTTTTGATGCGTTCGACCAATCCTCGGACTCAAGTGGCAGTTGCAACGTGAACTTGATACTGAAAAATTGAACAATGCGGGAAAACTTGCAACGTGTGTGTGCTGCTGGCTGAGGAGGGTGTGTGTGCCGTCTGTTTGAGAAGATTTGCTTGCATAAAAGTTTACAAACAAAAATCAATCGTCTGTGCCAGCGGATTGGCCGCAATGTCACTCGCTTCGTAAGGACATTAGGCAAAAGCTGCCAAGTGCATGTGTTTAAAGTTGGGATTCCCAATGTTTGCGGGTGCATAAGCCGCAAAACTAACCAGGGAACAACTACTACAAAAAATTCTTATTGTAAAAGGTTTTACTTCTTCGACTTTCTCCTAGTTTCATGGCCAAGTTCAAGTGGAAAAGTAGCACAAGTCGCGGGATGCGCACAGTACTTTGGCATTAAATTGTGACCGACAAGCTTTTGGTAAATAATTTAAGTACGTGTATTCTGGGCTTAGGGAAGATGCCCAGGATGGGCGGAATTAAAAATAAAGTTTCCAAAGACTTTGAATGCAAATTTAATTTTGAGTCGCAGCATGGCGCATGCAATGGAATTTAAATCAATTGTCCCCGAACTCCGGAGTTCCGGCTGAAGAGCCCGGCAAATACTACACCCCCCACTGCCTTTCAGTCACAATTCAATTGAAATTTAATTGATTTTACCCAGCAGTTGGGCAAACATAAAACGTCAATGCGGTTGGCCAAGCCAAGCAGCCAGAGAAGGAGCTCCTCCTCATCAAGGGCAATTAATTTCAACCTCAATTATTGTTGTCGATAGCTTAAGTTTCTGTTGGAAATATGTTTACCTTGTTGTATAAATATATACATTTTATTAAATAGTTTTCTGCCTATGAATATAATTTCAACAAAAGGTAAATAAATTGACATTGCATTGCCATAAATGAACAACCTTCCCATTGACAGCTTGATGAATTATCAAACAAAAAGCTTAAATTTATAGCATGCTTGACATTGGGGTTACAACCAAAACCAAGGCATTCATTCTGAAATCTTCTGCCATAAATTCCCCAGCCCGTTTTAATAATCATTTATTTTTGAATGGCATTTCTCGTAAGCTTTTTGTTTTCTTCAAATACCAAAATGCACATATACATATAACATTTCCCTTTCTTGGGCATTGTGAAACCCGAAATAACTTATTTTATGACCAAAAAGATATATGAACAAATTTAATCAAATGCCTCATCTATAAACTGAAGGAAGTAAAGCAGCTCAAGGCCGTAAAGCTGATGGAAGAAAGAGATTTTGGGCCTAAGAATAAGTCAAAGGAAAGAGCCTTAACCATTTACGACTCAACTAGGCGTGGCGTTATAAAAATCAAGCTTATAGTTTCTGTTCCGGAAAACAATTTCTCGCATTATTCATAAACACATCATTGTCATGTGTAGGCCAAGAAACTCTATGAGGTTAAAGTAGTAAAAATCTTGATATAATTTTTTAAGTTTTACAAGAAAGAAAGAGCTTTTTTCGCTTTAGTTTGTATTAAATTATTACTATTAATTATATCAGTTATAACCCTTTAAATAATATTACCAACTGGTTTCATGGTTTTAGCCATTTTAACCTCCTTTAACAGCCAAGAAACCAGCAGGCAGGAAACTGGCGCTAACTTTCCATATCCCCACTAATTAAGACATGCCGAGAACAGCCAGCGAATGAGCAAATGTTGGCCTGCCAAGTCAAACTTTGGCACGTTGGCAAATGTTTTGGCACACTCGCCTTCTCGGGTGAGCCGTCTAATGAATAATGACGGCCCAGAGGGGCATATTGTAAGAGGTCCTGAAAGGACCAGCAAGGCAGACAGCACTTTGCGCTTAGCATGCGTGTGCAAATCAAACGCGTCCTTGAAGGCTGGATAAGTGCACAGAGAGAAAATCTAAGCCTAATTAAAAAAAAATTAAAAATAATGAAAGCTATTAAACAAAAATATATAAAAAATATTTGTATATAAAAATGTCGAAGATTTAAAAGCATATTTATATTAATTAAAGATGTCAAACAAATAAATTCTCTTTTAAATTATTCTAGGGAATATTATACATTTAATTTACTAAAGGGATTCACGATACCTTAACTCTCTGTCTCAATACATATTTGTAGTTTTAAAAATCTTTAAAAATTGTAAAAAATAAACAAATATATATTTTCAGTGAAATTGGTACTTCAAAAAATGCATTACATTTTAAATGGATTTAAAAACTCTAGTGCTTTCTGGAGCTCCCCAAATTAACTTAATTTATTTGTTTAAGTTGTCAATTAGCTAACCTTAAAACCCCTAAAATTCTCAATTAAAAAATATATATAATAATATATATATGAAATGTACATATGAGAAAGGTAGTATTAAGTAAGTATTAAGTATTATTTCTTAAATATTCGCTATCAAAAGTCACTCGATTTTTGTACAGTGTTTCGTTCACGGATAGAGTAAAGAACACTGAAATATCCTCAGGCATCGACAATTATACAAGCGATTTGAGCCCATTTCTTTCTTTGGGCCAAACTTTTTCCAGGTCTGGTCGCCAAAGTTTGAGCCAGTGGGTGGTTTTTTTTTTGTTTTTGGCTGGCTATTGACTTGGCCCGAACCCGGCTTGGGCTCTGCTTTGCTTTTGCATACTTTGCGGAGCACGGCGCAACGCAATTTGTTCGAATGTCCTGTGTGTCACGTTTGCGTCCATTCTGGCCAGCTTTTGTTTGGCACTTTACTGTTTGCTCTTGTGCCATTTTTCCGCAGCTGCAGCTCCGCTTTCCACCTTCTTCCCTCTGCATTTTATACGTTCATTGGCTTTGATGTTGTATGGCTGGAAAGTCTAATGAACCCTTTGGCTAAGGCAAAGGCACATAAAGCACAAGCGAACACAGCCCACATTGAGATAGATAGCGTCCATGTACGCTTTTAATAGTTTCTTTGTCCAAGGTCTCCGCACAAGATGTATATTCGCATCTGCATCCGGCCATCTCGGCGGCACAACACATGGCGGGTGTGTGTGGGTATGCGTGGGTGTGTGTGGGGAAGGTTCAATGATTTCCCTTTTGCACTTGGAAAAACGAATTCCCCGGAAACTTGGGTATTAGGTCTTTTATGATCGTACTTAGCGATAAACTAACAAACAAAGCTGTAAACTTATAATCTTTAAGGGTTTATTATGTAGTTTATTGGTTGTAAAATTAATAAAGTTTTTATTTTCTTTATTTCTTCCATTTAAATTTAAGATTGAGAAAAGTTTAATAATTTTCTAAACAAGAATATTGTTGAAATTTAAATCTTTTTAAATTTAATTTACTACCTTTTCTCTTGTACAGAGTGTAGAATAGTCTTTAGATATTTTAAGATATTTTTTAAGTACCAATTGCCTGTTTTCTTGACTCTTCAACCATAAGGACCTGGCTCAAAAGCAACTTAAGGACTATGTATAATTTTCAAATGGTTTTACTGTTTATCCTCGGGTTGACAACAACATTATCCTCAGAGCTGGGCGTGTCTTTCGAGGACTCGCAGAGTATAAATGTTTAGCATATGTTTAGTACTATATCTCACATTAATGTGTTTCTAAGAAAACAGTTTTACAAAGAGACAGTGGAATAAATACAAAAGAGTCCTTATAGGTTGAAATATTTAAAAAAATAAGTTGTAAATTAAAAATATTATTTTTTAAAATATCAAAGTATCAAATACCTATACCAGTATGCTTAGAAAACTGCAGCAATTGTATTTCTTTCATATGAAAATTATCATTCAAAATTCCTGCTTTAAAGGAAAGGAATACTTTCTCCCAAAAGGGCAATTTGTCAATTCTAAGAATTTCCCAAAGGCCTGGGCTATCTACACACATGCATAAATGTATATGTACGTAAAGAGAAAGTGCAGAAAAAAAATCGCGAAATTGAAACTGTATCCATGTGACGGAAGTGGCGCTTGTTCCCCTACACAGGCATCAAGGAGTAAATTGCCCCATCGTGTCGGATGTTGGGAGCAAAAAAAAAAAACTGCCCTGGCAAATGAAATTTCAGCTTTATGAAACCGTGAACCGAAGCCTAGGGCAACTGGCTCAAAAAGAAAGGCGCGAATACCATGTTGTTCTAAAGAAAATTTGAAGTTGGAGCAATTAAACTAGCGAAACCAAGGAGAAACTGTAGAGCCTTACCATGCTCTGTGTTTTATATAGAACTTCCCTTTAAAATTCAGCTGAAAAATAGAAAAAATAAATTTTCCAAAATTTTCTAATCCATAAAGAATTAATAAGCTCTTCATCTCCCATTACTTAAATTTTTAAGTATATTTTTTACATCATTTAAGCAACAAAAACCCACAAAGTGTACAGCCTTGTGTGGTAGCTTAAGCTTAACAGATTCTGTCCCTCACATTTGATAAGGGTCCTAGGACACTAATCCCCAGACAATTATTATTCCATACAAACTGCCAATTAATGAGCTAAAAAGAAAATTGAATTTCATAGGAAACGGCCAACTTAAACATGAGCTTTGCATTCCAAGTAGCCCTAAGGATCTAGGAATTTCTTTCGAAATTTCACCCCCAGAAATCGTCCAATATTTAACTCTGGCAAACCATTTATAATTCAATTATGTTGATGTTTTAACAACAGTGAGTGGAAGATATCCTTCTAGGATAGGCAATAGCCGGCGGAAGTTTATAATTACAGGTGGGGAAACCCCTTTCGCCCATCACCATTATCATCATCAACGTTGTCATTGGCCCAGGGCACGTTTCGTGTCAATAACTTACAATTAGCCCCGGGGGGAGGTGAAAGTTGGTAGCTGATTGCTGGGGTGGGAGCCAAGAGGCGTGGCCATAACTAATAGATAATAATGACAGGAGAACGTCAAGTGCTGATGGCACTGTGGTTCAGTGGCCTTCTGTTCGCCTGCTCCTTGAGATGGATGGCCAGGTTCACTGAGCCCTGCATGCCATGCTCGTCGTGTATATATTCATCAAGGAGTGCTAAAAATATTCTTGGCCAAAAAACTTAATAAATTGAAGACAAAAATATTCTAGCAAACACGCCACATTGATGGGTCTTTTGCTACTATTTTTGTTTTATTTTTACAGGGGGCATCACTTTAATTAATTTCTTTCCTTTCTAGTTTAATTACTCATAGCAAGCCGTACTTTTTTTACTTTTCCTTAAAGCTCCTTGAAGTGGCCATAAAGCTAGTGGTCAAGGGGCTTAGGGAAAAGCTGGTGAAAAGAAGGGAAAAGGAAAAATAAAATGGAATAAAGTCAACTAAATGAAAAGGGAAATTGGAAATTAAAAGCAGTGTATAATTATTTTTTAATAAATATTAAAATCTCCCGAAACCTCTGCTTCTCTTTTAAATACAAATTCATAAAACCCAAAGTCTGCACTCTTCATTCTTTTATCGTTATCTAAATCCAGATAAAACCTTGAAACAATTTAAGTACCTTTAAGTAAAGTTCCCAAAATTGAAAACTCTCTAAAAAGGTTCTCACAAAACCTCTTAAGTGAATCCAAAAACCCTTACTCTCACCTCACCGACTCAAGTGTGGTGTTTAGCTAGCCATTTTGACCATTCGTTAAAATTGTGTTGGCAATAAAAATAAATTCAAGTGAAGCGAAAAGTTTTTTATGCGCGTTAACCATTTGGAAATCGAAACCAAAGGCATGGTGGGTGGGCTGGGCAAGTGTGTACTCCTACGGCCAAGCAGAGGCATTAAAAGTTCAAAATTCTACTCAAATTTCATTAGAGCTTCTTCTTGGCCCCGAAAGCCACTTCAGAGTTTCCCGACATGCGATTGCGAAGCCGGCATTCCAAGAGAGAGATATATGGATATAAAAGACGCCCCCAAAAAGTCCTTTTTGTCAAGCTTAAAGAGAGGGGGAGAGGGAGGCCCTAGAAGGTGGAGAAGGATACGGGCCACAGCTTATATTTATAATCGCCTTCAACGCCATCGGGCGCACAACATATTGAAATTGTCTCTCTCTGCGGCAGGAGCAGCATCAGCATCCCATCGGTTCAATGCACCATGTCGCCTATGCAACGTGATTTTAAAACCCAAACTGGTCTGGTTTTTTGGTCTGGTCAAAGTTGAATGGTCAGCGGCAGCAGCTCAGAGTCAATGCTCAGGGTGGTGTATGTTTTGCCAGGCGGTTAGCTGGTAATTTAATTGCCAAATGCAAATTCCAAAACTGAATCCGAATTCGAGTCCGAGTCCCCTAAGTCCCGCCATCATAAAAAACACGGCAAGGTGGCACTCACAGCATCCAATTAGGCGCTGCTCCAGGTGCGACAGACTGGCGGCAAGGCATGTTCTCTCTCGAATTAAACAAGGGCCCCATCTTGGTCGTTTAAGATGGCTAGAGTCCAGAAAAATGCCTTCAATTTGCATACCGAACGAATTATTGTCACGTTAGTGACTTGAAAAGGGGACACGTCCCCAAAAAAAAAGGTTCATCTGATGTATGTGATTGTATTTTAAGGAATTCTGGGAAGTGTTTCTTTATTTGAAAGGCTTGGGAATGTGTGAAATATTTCCAGAAAAACTTCATGTAATCTGTCCCTTTTTTTCTGTGAACATTTTCCTGACACAAATGGGTATATATCAACAATCTGTTTAGTTCAAACATAAGTTTTGATATAAGGGAAAAAATCAATGATAGGTAGTTTAAATATATAAAATATATTAAGTTTTAAATGAAGTGTGAAAGCATTAAAGCAGTTTTAATAAGTAAATTACTCTTGGTCAACACGGCGTATGAGTTATTTTTTTATTGTGTTTGAATAAATAAGGGAGCCTTACAATTTAAAAGAATTTTCTATATTTTGAATAATATTTTCCTATACATTTTAAAGATATAGATAAATAAGACTAGCTGTCGACCCTAATATCCCTAATATCCTGCTATTTTCTAGGGCAACAACTGCTGCCTTCATTAATAACCGATTTCTGTTTGCCTTTTATAAGCTCCACATACCTAGAAGAGTTCTTTCATTCTTTAAACTTCCTTTTTTATTCAATATTTCATTACTTCTAAGCATATATATTATATGTTTTCCACTGTGGCATCACGAATTCACACACTTCCCACTCATTTCTTGGTCACTTTATGCCAATTAGCGTGTCTCGCTCTCGTAATTATTATTATTATTGGACAACATGCGGTGCTTGGGCGACACAGTCAATAACTGATTGTCAATAACGACCCCTACACATGTCGCACTGCACATAATTATCCGCATTGATTTTACGAGCACCCCTATAAGGGCAGCCCAATATCCCGCATATGAACTAATCTCGATATGGCCAAGGCTTTTTCGCCTAAAAACCACACAAGAGGAAACAAGAAACCACAAACGCAAACTCGTTTCGAGGCGGATGCCGGTTCTGATTAGCCTTGGCAACAAGTTGAGGGCTCTTTTTGGGTTTTGCACTTGGCTGCACATCTTTGAGCCAAATAAAAAAGCTGAAATAAACATGACAACAATGTGGTAAAAATTGGCAGAACAAAAATGGATATAACCATTGTGGCAGGCCAAGAAATTGGAAAGCAAAGAAATTAACATGAAAAAGCAAATGAAGCTAAAGTCAAAAAAGAGGGAAACCACAAGAGAGATTAAGATGTAAGTTCACAGAAAATTTCTAAAAATGAAATATAATAAAGCCACATTATTAACCACATTTAAGAAGTCATATCAGCCCAAGAATCCTTCAATCAAAGCGAATCTAAATCAATTCTCAACATTTGTATACCGTACAAATAAAAAAATTACCAAAGGAGAGATAGAGTGTCTTTGATATTCGAGCCGGAATAGTGGTCAATAAATCGCAACGGGCAGACGAGAGCTCTTTAAAAACAGCTTACAAGGACGTAACGCCGGCACGTCCTGGCTTCTGGCTCCTGACTGCCTCCTGCCACCTCTCTTCCACCTTTGCCAGAGTGGGCTTTAATAATGTTTGTTGGCTGTCTGGACATTGGCAACGATTTAGGCCACAGAGACGCCTCTTTCTGGGGGGTTCAACAAAAACTGCAAAAACCACCGAAAAATGCAGAAAACAAAGCTTAATAAGTAAGAGATTTATTTTCTTTTAAAAACAGTAAATTATTTAAGGTACAAATAGCAGAGAATCCCTTTTGGGCTACGCCTCTTGACTGTGCCATATGGCAAAGCCATAAAATTAATTCATTTCTTTTCGCTTAATTGAATTTTCTTGTATTAAGACCTTGAATGAACTAAGAGGCTTTTGTGGAAATCTTTTTTTGTAGCAGTTTGGGGGAGAATTCTGCAAGGCTGTGTTAGTTTTTAGGGAATTTTCTGGTCAAACTTTATTGACACATATTATTTTTGTAAAATAGTAGGCTTCTAGTTTATTTTCAACTCCATTTTCAATTAGAATACCTTTTACATAACATTTCTAACCAGTTGTAGTTACAAACAACAATCACAAAAATGTCCGAAAAGGTAAGAATAAAGTTTGTTTATATTCAAGAAAATATTTTCTGTTTCTTTTCAATATTTTAGAAACCTCAATTCAAGTTTCCTATGCACAATGTGCACTTTAACAAGACCATGGGCATAGTGAAAAATGCCTGCTTGTTTTCCGTTTTGGCTCCAACTATTATGTACATATTGTACAATGCACCGCACCAAAGGAAGTACAGGAGCTTCTATTCGACGTATGACCCCATCGATGCCTTTGACCGGATGATGAACGGTGGCTATATAGACTCTTTTCCACCCGGCAGTGGGCCCAAGGCTAAGAAGGACAAGAAGGATAAAAAGAAGAAGTAGACAAGGGGAATTAAAAACCAAAATCAAAAACACATATACGATTAAGACTGGGAAGGAGATCTAACACGAATTTGAGTTCTAAGAAATGACAATACGAAACAATAATCAAGCGACATTGATTACCTGGAGCATTGCAAACATTCTGGGCAGATATAGTTATCTGAATCCATTTCCCACACTTTAATAACATTTTAAATTGCACAACTTTCGAACTTTTGGACTTCGATAAGGAATATAAATTCGAAAAGCACAAACCTTTCCCTGTGACAACTATAAACAAAAAATATAAATAAATTGGAGCATTGCAAACTATATTATAATCTTTATATAAGATATGTAGATACTTACAAATATAAAATTAAAATTATTAGAGGCCAAACATATAAATTATCGGGAGTGTTTAAGAAATCACAAGGGTCTTTAAAAATCCTAAAAATGGCTTAAATATTGTTAAAATTTAGACTTAATTTGGTTTCTAAAAAATTCATTAAATACTTTTAAACTTTATTAAAAACCCTAAAGATTTCTGACTGACTTCAGTATATATTACCCTTACATAAAACTTATTACAAACCAATTGTAAGAGAACTTAGATTGTACAAAACATATGAAAAATCTTTCAACTGAATTATTTCCTTCCCTATAATTTTCTCTAATCCACAGCAATTCGCAAACTTGTCAATAATTTGTAGCATACTCTCTCGAGCGCATCGAGGAACTTTTTGGGCGATTTGGCCACAGTTAACCAGAGCCCAACAGGATATACATATGGTATATGGAAAGGGGACATGGCAAGCGGAAACACCGCCAAACATGTTGGCTGAAAGTTTTCAAATCAAGCCACAAGCCTGGGTGGCAGATGAAGGGCTGCCACTGTTACCCGATGTGGCTGACAGGCTGCGACAAACTCGCAGACAGTATCGAAAATGAAACTTTCTTCGTGGCAGGAGACAACAACAAGGGTCTCAAATAATGCAAGAAATGCATAAAATTTCAATAAACTTTTGTCATGTTAACGAAAAGAGCTTCGCGGTTGCGTTTCTAAAGACACGGAAAGAAATTATGAGATATAATATTATATAAAATATTATTAAAACATAATAAGATGCTCAGAACTCCTTTAATACCATTTTAAGTCTAACTACCAAAGTTCTTATTTATTTTTAAAATTAAATGAATATAAATAAATCCTTTTTAAAACCATTTCTCCCTCTGCATAGTAACTTGGTATGAGAATCCTTGTGGTGGAAATGCAGCGTCAGTGAAATGGAGAAATTTATTGCAGGCCGTGTCGACATCTTACACTGTCAGGCTGCAAACAGAGGAAATGTATTTTTTGGGAGAATGGTAAGAGCCTTTACCAAGCTGCTCCTCAAGGCCACGGACTATTTATGCACTGAGCAAAGCCTCTAATTATCCACTTTCAAAATAAGCCCCCCCCCGAAAATGTTGTTCATCCGAACTTGTCTTCTCAGAGAACATGAGGGAACTTTTAGCATTTTGAACTTAAGCTGCTTACCCTCGCTGGCCGGCAATTTTTTAGCAAACATCAGCCGAGCTGAAAAGTCCTTCGCTCCTTGGGCCTCTTGACTGCTTCTGCTGCTGCTACTGCTGCACTTGCCGACCTGCTGGACAGGATTCGCCCACTCGATCCCAGGATGCCAGGACGTGCCCGGCGTATAGAACACCTTCAGACAGCAGACCGCAAGTGCTGCAAAATGTTTCTCGACAGCAGCCACAACAGCCATCAAATGGACGCGGAGAGATTTTAAAGTCGCTAAAGGAGTACGCTTTAAATTTATATATATTATGTTACTTTAGAGATTAGATTAAAAGCTTTTAACAAAACCCTCTCAACTTATCTAAGATAACCTTGGGAGATTTATTTACAGAATTATCTTTCAGAATTTTATTCTTGCAACAAAAATAGAATTTAAAATCCCAACCTAGCCAAAATTGAGTCAGAATTATCTACCCAAACAAAGTATATAAAATTAAGTACTCCTCAAAATATTCCAGATTTATTTGATAACGAAAATACCCTTGAAATTGTAAGGTGCTTTTGGAGTACTTAAAAAAATTTGTCTGAGCTTTAGTGGCCACAATCGACCCACAGTTCCAGTGCTGCGGCTATTTTGCATTTTCCTGCCACCTGCCCACGTAAACAGAAATGTTTTTGGGCCACGTCTTGTCGGGGATTTTTTTCTCCTACTTTTTGGAAAGGCAAGACAATATTTTTATAGCTGCTCGGGGTCGGAGAAAAATGGGCATGTTAAGTGTTGTTTGCCATTTCTTTTATATTATTCTACCGTTTTTTCGGTTCCACCTTTTACACGTGTTTAACTTGGGCAAGATCTTTTTTTTAAGACATTCTAAGTGGTGACCCTTTGGCTAGGCCACATAGTTTGAGCCGTGTTTGGCTTAGATATTTCCTATTTTTTGGAGGCTAAAGAAGTTGGGTTTTATGTATGTAAAGCTGATATTTTTTATTTATTTTTTGTTATTTAAGTAACAAAAATTAAAGAGTCTGTTTTACAATTTAAGCTAAAATTTACCCCAAGACTCTATTGCATCTTTATTATTTATCTTTCTGGCCCAAAATTTATACATTTTTTCCTGGCTTCTAGATTTAACCGATTGCCAGGCTTCGCTGGTATCTATGCCAGTCCATAAAATTACATTCTGTGCATAGAAAACGTGTTTTTGCTGAACCCCAAAACATGGCCGAGAATGTTTTATGACCAAACATAGTTGTGTTTGTAAAAGTAAATACATTTTTACGAGCTCTGCTCTGGAGCTATCCCAAAGCCTGCATTTAGCCTGGAGGTCCTGGAGGCAGAAGTAATTGCATAATTGGCACTTAGCGTGTCTTCGACTTACACAGCTCATTAAACCCTTGTTGTGGTCGGGATGCAAAGTTTGACAAATTGCCGGGAGGCAAGGCGGGAATCAACCAAATGATGGCCCCAATTGGATGCCTCCCAAGCTACCAACCAAGTCCCTGACGGCAGGGTTCGATAAATCAAGCTGGCAAACAGGATTTGTGCACTGACTTGGATTTGATGCATTTAATGGGCGGTTGGCGTCACGAAGGATCGAACCAGAGCCTTGCGGTGGGAGGTTGGTCTGTTGGCCTTTCGGGTCGTTTTGGCAAATTGCAGTTTGGCAGCTCGCAAGTTACACATCACGAAAGCGTAGCCAGGCTGGGCGCCAAAAAGCAGACAACATTTTGCATTATCCTCTGGAAATATTTATGAGGCAGGCGGCAAAATGCCGAAGGCATTGATTTATTTGCGGAAAATCGTTTATTAGAGCAAGTCCCTTTAAGGCAGAAACTGGCCCCCCCCAAACAAGGCTCACAAATGAACATGCAAAATGCTGATGAGTGAAGCCCCTCGATATCGAACAATTGAACTTTCTGATTGAGTTGAGCATTGCAATGGGGGAAAAAGGTGGAATTACGATGAATATTGCACAATGCAACTACTGGCACATTTGTCAGGTCTTAAGTGGGTTGACGAGCTACTAAAGGGGCTGAGAGGCAGGCAGGCGAAATTGCACTTGAAGGATTCACAGAAAATTGGACCAGACCCGGTCGCTGCATTATGGAGGGAGAATTCTATAGCCTCTAGGAGGAAGTAGAGTTGAATGTGCTTATGATGGATTTTTAAAATCGAAAATACAGAGAGGTTACAGAAAAGGTAAATTAAATAAAAGTTCTAGAAAAGGGAAAACAATACTTTTTAAAATCACAAAAAATATGTTTGATAAAATACCTCATTTGTAACATCTCAACCGCATTTTTAAGCTCTCAATTATCTGGGCTTTAAGCCAGTAGATTTCCCCCTACCATAAATCGCAGCTGTCTGCCAATCTTTGGAATTTTCCTGTTTTATTTCAAAAGAGAACAATAGCCTCATACTATCTGCGAATGCCTTTACAGAAACCAGTTTAAATGTAGGCCAAAGGACCACACATTCCATACAATGTAGCCTCATGCCTTTTTATATATTTATTATACCCTTGCAGGGTATTATAATTTCAGTCAGAAGTTTGCAACGCAGTGAAGGAGACGTTTCCGACCCTATAAAGTATATATATTCTTGATCAGCATCAACAGCCGAGTCGATATAGCCATGTCCGTCTGTCCGTCTGTCCATCTGTCCGTCTGTCCGTCTGTCCGTCTGTCTGTTTCTACGCAAACTAGTCCCTCAGTTTTAAAGCTATCTGAATGAAACTTTGCATATAGTCTTCTATATACTCTCACTGCTATATATGTCGGAACGGGCCGGATCGGACGACTATATCATATAGCTGCCATACAAATGTTCGATAAATTTTTCGAAAAAAAATTATAACTTTGCTGTTTTTTAACATTTTTGCACCATTTTTTAGATATGGCCATTCTATATTATTTCTGAATTTTGGTAAAAATTTTATGAAAATCGGACGACTATATCTTATAGCTGCCATAGAAACGATCGGGAAATTAATAGGAAACAAATTATAACTTCGTTGTTTTTCAACGTATTTTCATCTACTCTGAGATATAAGCTTATTTTATTATTGTAGAATTTTGGTATAAATTTCATGAAAATCGGACAACTATATCATATAGCGGCCATAGGAGCGATCGGTAGATGTAGAGAAAATGTAAAGGTGTGAATGTAAAACTGTAACTGTCAAACTGTAAACATTATAAGTATAGTTGAAATGTAATGAAATAATATCTGCAAGGGTATACAAACTTCGGCGTGCCGAAGTTAGCTTCCTTTCTTGTTTTTATTTTATTTTTTTTAATTACGGTCGCGCTGACAGGAGCACCGCAGTGACAAAAACAACATCAGGAGCAACTGCCAGATAATTTCAGTAGCGCCAAGTTGCCTTTCAGTGTCGCCGCAGCTGCTGTCGACCTTTGGGAAGTGATTGCAGCCGTGACAACTTAATTTAAAAAAAAAAAACCAACTATCGTGCAATTGCTGCACAATCTGGGAGACTTTAATTCGGTTAACCCCAGTCCAGTAGTGGCAATACAAATGACTGTTGTATTTTTGTTGCTTTTGGTCAACCATTGTTGCTGTTCAGGGGAGGGCGTTAATAATGCCACACGTCGAGGTGAACAACTGCAGCGATGCATAGCTGATGGGACAGGTTGGTCATGCACAAGGAATAAAAATGTAATGTTAGAAAAAAATATATTTAAAAATAGGGAATTACATTTTAAAAATGTTAAATAACTAGGAATAAGTTTTTCTTAAACCTTTTCATCTTCTACAAGCAAAAGTCAAGACGCTTTGCTTTCTTTATGTTTTAAACATTGAATTCTTATTACTAAGGGAAGACATAAGGGAGTAAGATTATATCTATATAAACAAAAGAATGTATAAAATACATATTAATAAAAATTTAACCTCTCAGTGTGCCTATTCCAAGAGTTTAAAACAATGGCAACATATTCCATCCCATGCCCAGAACCCTCCAATTCAGCCTCGTATACACCCCTTACATTCCAGCGAAACGCTCTCTCAGCCGTGTTTATGCGATTTAACAGATTGAAAAACAAGTCGATAAACGAAAAATGAAAAAATAAAATAACCAAAACCAAACCCAAAAAATGCTTTTCCCATTGAGGACTGAAAAAAAGCAAAACAAAAGTGAAACAAAAGGGATTTATGGGATTTGTGGCGAAATGCAGCTGGAGCTCTATTTTACAGGTTTTTTTTTTAACATATTTGTTTCGTGTTTTCCCCTTAGGCAGGGGGAGAATTGCATATGAAGACTTTAACAAAGAAAACAAAGAAAAAAGTTATACAATTTACAAAATTACAAGGAAAAGTTGCAGAAATTATAAGATGCTTGTCTTTAAAATGAACAAAAGAGTAAAAGAAATTTAAACAGCTACATTTTCTAAAGAAGAACCTTTAAGATAAATTAATAAACAATTCGACAATACTGAAAATCCAAACAAATATTTGCTAAATCAAAAAATAAACCTAGCAGTAGTTACTTTAAGTTAAGACAAAAGGGTCAAAAAAGGAAGGAAGGAAGCCAAGGCCAGAGAATAAAGTTATATTGAGTCATATGATATGAATAGTAAACTCTTTTAGTAAACAATAAATTCTCTAAAACTGTAAGCAACACAACCAACACATTCACATATCCTAACAAAGTATTAAAATTTCATCTTTAATGTCAATTCATAATTTAATACTTATGTATGTATACATGTAAACCCATGCCATACCTTTGTGCTTTCAACAAAAAATTGGCCAAAGAAAAACCCTTTTCACATAGGCAAACCCCCCAGGGAGAAAGCGGCACGAAAAGATACTTTGAAGATGTTTTTTTTTTATGAACCCTTCTACCCGCAATTTCATTTTCCTTTTATGCACGTAAAGAAATAAATATTTATGTAAAAACGGAGGAGAGTCGTGAACTCAAATCAATGAAAATTATTTATTTTTCCTGGGTAATGCTATTTTTGTAGAAAATTTCTATAACTCTTCCCAAGCTTTGATGTGTGCGGCGTGCGTGGTGCTTGTGGGTCAAATAAATAACGTATACGCCATGTGAGACCGCAAGTGCAAGCCAGGCTTAAAGCCAGAGCCTTTTCTAGTGTATATCCCCTTTAAAGGGTTAGCGATTGGGAGAGAGTATGGTCTAAGGACTTTTCCACTTTGTAGCAATCTGTCCGACAACATGGCGTATGCGTAACGTGCGGCACATAACTCAAATCGCCGAGCATATTCATCTTCATATGCAAAGTAGATTTATGTCGCATTTCTGTACTTGGCATGCTCTTTTCGAGGCTCTGCCGCCGCCTGCCATTTGAAATTCCCCCAGCGTGTCGACATATTCAGCTTGTTTTGTTGATTACGAGGACGGCTTTCCCCCAGTTTTTCTTTCTCTCTCTGCGAGCAAGTATTTTTCCGGCACATTTTTCGCTTTGGCAGAAACTTAAAGTCAGCGCTTGTGGCTCATAAATTATGTTAACAACGCTCACGCGTTCGCGTTCGTGGTCACATTACATTTTTCTATTTTGTTTCTATTTTCTTATTTTTTCTATTTTCCTCTACCTTTTCCCCAACCATTTTCCTCCTATTTTTTGAAGTTTTTATTTCACTGCTATCTATTTCTGGCCTGCATTATTTAATTACTTAAGTTCTTGTTTGACGTTGGGCGAAACAGTGCACGTGCCTGAATTTTTGACTGAAAAACTTTTACAAAATAATGGAATTCTAAATTTTTCACCCTACGTATGAGAGTTGGAAGTTTAGACACGTTCTGAAAGAAAAAGATTGGAAAACAAATAGAAAAACCCATGTAGAGGTCAGAAATTTAAGTTCGGTTTGTAAAGCAAGCAGAGTTGAGTTCTGGTAAATAAAAAAACGAAAAACCATGAAAGGAGTCAATTATTATAATTGCCCATGTTTCCAAGCCCACACACCATGGGGGAGTCCACACCGCAAGCTGGCGAGGAGCATTTAATTAAAACATCATAAATTTCCGTTGACAAACAGAGGAACTTTTGGCCAACAAAAACTTTTCGTTAGATGCAAAAACTTCATTTCGTTTCGTTGGCGCAAGAAGCTGACCAATAACGGAAAAATGTTATGTTTGGTCAGAAGTGCAGCAGGAATTTTAAGTTCTTTATTGAATTTCGTGCGGAAAATAGCAAGCTATATGACAAAATGCTGGAGAAATGAGGCAGGCAGGCGGCCGAAATAAGCCACAGGCCACAGGCCATGCGGCTCATAAAGTCCTGGCAATGCAGGACGACGACGACGGTGCATGCCGCATGCCACTGTTGACACAGGACGAAAGCCATGTGAGGTCAACGGAAATCGGGCTCTCCTCTGCCACCCCTCGTTGTGTATGCGTCCTCAGTTGGCTATATTGCCCACTTTGACGGTGCTTTGGCAACGATTTTGGTTGCACTTCAGTACTTCGCTTAATTTGTACTAGTAAAATATAAATTATAAATTGAAAGTCTTAAGTTAACTTAAAGTAAATCGGTTACTTAAGCTCCACGAACTTTCTTTTGATTTAAACTGAACTGAAACAGAGATCAGATTGTCCCAAAAATTCTTATAAATGAAACTGGAACTTATGATTTCTTGGCTTAAATATTTTTAAAATATAAAAAAGTATAGGTACTATATAGTCATTCTTAACCAAAAATCAAACCATTTCAAGCGTAAAACAACTCAACCATTAAAGTTGTCTTCTAGATTTATGCGCTCTGTTAAGTTTTTGGCCAAGAAATTGCAAAAGTAAGTTAGTTTCGAGAGCCTTTGGGGAATTAATCAGTTACAATGACCTACCTGCAAGGCATTTGTTGCCGCAAAAACTTTCATTGAGGCGATTGTTAAAAATACTTTTGCTTGTTGGCTGCCAACTTTTGTTTGAAATCCCCGATGGATTCCAGAAGAATCGCTGACTTTAACTTTAACTCGTATACTTTTACTGTTTCTAGAAGTTATTCCCCCCATTCAATATTCATATAGCTGCAACATAATTTTTGCTGAAAGCAAACAGACTGCGCATAAATAAATAACACGAAAAGAGCCAGTGAAATAAATAATTGGAATATAGTACAGCAGTTTCACAAGTATCCTGGATTTCAGGTTTCAAATTTTGTATATATAAAAATAAAGATAAACTTTAATTCCCGCTAGACCTTAGAACTTCTGGCGACATGTCAATAAAAATGATTACTCTGCAGTACCTAAAAATATAGAGCGAATGAAAAGGGCCAACACAAAAATCATATACAGGTCAAGACAGGACAGCAAATTCGCCGCAGGACCACAGGACCCGATGGACCAAAACTGACAGCCTTGGCCAAAAGTTTGACAAGCCTCGGAGTGTGAGTGTGAAGGAGAAATGGTGTGTATTTTCAGTTTCCTGGACTCCTCAGCCAATTCAAGTGAAATGTGAATGACAGAATGTGAATAAAAGTGACATAAATCGAATACGAAAACGTAAGACATTAAATCTTTAAAATAAATATAAAGAACACTTTAAGGTAACAATAAATAAATACAAGTCGCACCTTTGAATTGAATTTTGGCAATACTAATCAAAACAAGAATCTATACCTGAAATTTATTTATTTATATATATTTTGGTGATAAAAAAATCACTTAATATGATTAAAATGAGATACCTTACTTTATTGCCTAAAAATAAACTAGTCATATCAATTTTTATATTATTTATCTGTTAATTTTCTGATGGTTCCCATGGACATTAAGCTAAAGTTTAGTTGGTTCCGCGTTATTCAGCCTTCAACCCTGACTAAAATAATTTTCCGGTATAATCACCCCTATATATACAATATCGGAGCCTATCAATACTTAGCTTAGTCTTCTGTAGCTAACAAAATGAAACTCTTGGCTTTTCTGCTTCTTGGCTTGTATTATTTTTATGTAAAGAGTGAAGAGTGTGTACAGGTAGACAAATTTAATATAATTTTAATATAATTAATTAATCAATATATTTATTTCTTTACAGGATAAATCTGACCCTGACACTGACTACTGTCGGAGATACTGTTTCAATAACACTAACCGTGTTTGTGCAAATAATGGACTTTGCTATTACCATTTCAAAAATAGGTGCACGATGACTAACAGAAATTGCTATTGCGTAGAGAACAATAAGCCAGGTAATTAAGAGTAATTTCGAATTTTTTAGTAGATATTTTAAATAATTAATTCTTTATTTTATTCAAGTATTCAAATTTATTAGCAATGGACTATGCGTTAACCCGACATTGAAAAAATGTACTAAATCCCCGGCACCGGAAACGGCACCGGCAGCCGCATCTTCCAGAGGCTGATTGTACTTAAATCTGTTTCTTCTTTTTACCAAAAATAAAAGCAATTCAACAGCCACAGACATAAATGTTTACATAAAATCTTAGGAAACCGCAGTCAGTCAACTTTTTTATTGGGCCTAACGCCTCGGCTCACTTCATGTCACCTCCTGAAACTGGGCACTCGGATAAGGAAGGATGTGGGAAAAGTATTTCCTGAAAACAGAATATTTATAAGTAGAAATCGCAAAAAATTCCATTGACCAGAGAGCTGCGTTACAGAGCTTAGTCACAAGTCACAAGGGCACAACTTTACTTTCTCTTTCCTTTGATTGTTAAATTTGATATTCAAACGCAAAATTTAGATTATCTTGAATGTAAAGTGTAGATAATTATAATATTTTTCGCGTTAATGGGCCTTCAACCCTGACTTAAACAATTTTCCGGTATAATCAGCCCCCTATATATATCGCAGCAAATCAATACCTAACTTAGTCTGAAGTAAATTTAGCAATAAAAATGAAACTCTTGGCATTTCTGCTTTTTAGCTTGTATATCTTTTATGTAAAGAGTGAAGAGTGTCTAAAGGTATCCATATTTAATATAATTTTAACATAATTATTTAATCAATATATTTAATCCATTACAGGATAAATATGTCCCAGACAGTCACCCCTGTCTTAGAATCTGTTTCAATCGCACTGACACTATTTGTGCAAATAATGGAAAATGCTACTTTAATTTCAAAAATGGGTGCACGATGAATAACAGAAATTGCTATAGCATAGCCAGAAAATGGCCAGGTAATTTGGAGTAATTTCGAATTTTCTTAGTAGAAATTTTAAATATTTAAATCTTAATTTTATTCAAGTATTCAAATTTATTAGCAAAGGACCATGCGTTAACCCGACATTGAGAAGATGTTTAAATTCCCCGGCCCCGGCACCAGCACCGGAAACGGCACCGGCACCCTAATCTTCCAGAGGGTGATTGTACTTAAATCTGTTTCTTTTTTTAACCAAAAATTAAAGCAATTCAACAGCCACAGACATAAATGTTTACATACAATCTTAGGAAACAGACGAGCCTATGTGGGGAGACCCTCATTTCCAGACGGTAATTGAGACAGACAGGCAGACTGGTATGAGACAGTGATAACTTTCCGCCAAATTAGAGTTCCAAGGACAACTTCCTGCGGCCGCCCCTAATCACTGTGGGCAGTCAGCCAACTTTTATTGGGCCAAACCCCATATGGTTTAAAGCTTCAACGCCTCGGCTCACTTCATATCGCCCCATAAACTTTTATTAGCCCGCCTGAAACTGGGGCACATTTTGATTGACACTTTAACCGTTAATGTCTTAAAGCGAGCTGCACTCGGATAAGAAAGGATGTTGGCAAAGGATTTTATGAAAACAGGATATTTATAAGTAGAAATCGCCAAAGTTTCCATTGACCAGAGAGCTGAGTTGGAGAGCTTATTCTGACACCGGAAAAGGAAGTCACAACAAGACTTTTACTTTCCTTTGATTGTCAAGTTGGATATTCCACGCAAAATTTAGAATATCCTGAATGTAAAGTGTAGATAATTATAATATTTTTCGCGTTAATGGGCCTTCAACCCTGGCTAAAACAATTTTCTGGTATAATCAGCCCCCTATATATATCGAAGCAAATCAATACCTATCTTAGTCTGAAGTAAATTTAGCAATAAAAATGAAGCTCCTGGCTTTTCTGCTTCTTAGCTTGTATATCTTTTATGTGAAGAGTGAAGCGTGTGTAGGTATACATATTTAATATAATTTTAATATAATTAATCATATATTTAATCCATTACAGGATAAACCTGAGCCAGACACTGACTACTGTCTTAGAGTCTGTTACAAAACAAATAACACTGTTTGTGCAAATAATGGAATATGCTATTCTCATTTCTATAATATGTGCGTACTGAGTAACAAAAATTGCCATTGCATAGAGCACAAATTGCCAGGTAATTTGGAGTAATTTCGAATTTTTTAGTAGAAATTTTAAATAATTAATTCTTAATTTTATTCAAGTATTCAAATTTATTAGCAAAGGACCATGCGTTAACCCGACATTGAGAAGATGTTTAAATCCCCCGGTCACGCCACCACCACCCGCATCTTCCAGAGGCTGATTGTACTTAAAACTGTTTCCTTTTTTAACCAAAAATAAAAGCAATTCAACAGCCACAGACATAAATGTTTACATACAATCTTAGGAAACCGACGAGCCTATGTGGGGAGACCCGCATTTCAAGACGGTAATTGAGACAGACAGGCAGACTAGGATGAGACAGTGATAACTTTCCGCCAAATTAGAGTTCCAAGGACAACTTCCTGCGGCCGCCCCTAATCACTGTGCGCAGTCAGCCAACTTTTATTGGGCCAAAACCCCATATGGTTTAAAGCTTCAACGCCTCGACTCACTTCATATCGCCCCATAAACCTTTATTAGCCCGCCTGAAACTGGGGCACATTTTGATTGACACTTTAACCGTTAATGTCTTAAAGCGAGCTGCGTTCGGATAAGGAAGGATGTTGGCAAAGGATTTTATGAAAACAGGATATTTATAAGTAGAAATCGCAAAAGTTTCCATTGACCAGAGAGCTGAGTTGGAGAGCTTATTCTGACACCGGAAAAGGAAGTCACAAGGTCACAACAAGACTTTTACTTTCCTTTGATGGTCAAATTGGATATTCAACTCAAATTGTAGAATATCCTGAATGTAAAGTGTAGATAATTATAATATTTTTCGCGTTAATGGGCCTTCAACCCTGATTAAAACAATTTTCCGGTATAATCAGCTACCTATAAATATCGAAGCATATCAATACTTAGCTTAGTCTTATGTGAATTTAGCTATAAAAATGAAAATCTTGGCTTTTCTGCTTCTTAGCTTGTACATTTTTGGTGTGTCAACTGAAGAGGTAATTTGAACTATACGTTTATTTAAAAAAGTTGATTAATTAATTCAATATATTTATTCTTTACAGAAAAAGTCAACAACGGTAGTTAAACTGCTATATTTACAATTCTTTTTTTTAATTTTAACTATGCGTTAGTTTAAAAATTATGATCTGTGTTAATTTAATATAATTAATTAATTTCCCACATTTTTTATTTTTTTTTTACAGATGAAGACAACAACGGTATTTAAACTGCTATATTTGAAATTCTTTTATTTTATTTTAACTATGCGTTAATATAAATAATTAATTCACCAATTTTTTTGCTTTTTTTCAGAGAGATCCAATGGTATTTAACCTGCAATATTCTAATTAAAATAATTTCAAATATATATAACATAAAAATTAATTTACAGTTTACCCTCCTTGAAACCTGTTATCGATTCTGTTCAATATACCTTACCCCTGTTTGTGCAAATAATGGAATCTGCACATATGAATTCCACAATATGTGCAGGATGAGAAACAAAAATTGCTATTTCAGTAGGCGCAATAGGCCAGGTAATTAAGAGTAATTTCAAAATTTTATTAGAAATTATTAATAATTACTTTTTTTTAAGAATTCCAATTGATTAACAAAGGACAATGCTGGGACAAGATAAACAGATGTACTGATGATCAATTGAAATAGGAATGTCTACCATAGGTATTTGAATGCACTTGAATCGGTTTCATATTTAACCAAGGATAAAAGCAATTCAAAAGCCACAGAATTTTATGTAAACAGGATGTTTATAAATAAAAATCGCAAAAGTTTCTACTGACCACAAAGCTGAGTTACAGAGCTTTTTCTGACACCGGAAACGGAAGTCACAAAGGCACAACAAGACTTTTAGTTTCCTTTGATTGTTAAATTGGATATTCAACGCAAATTGTAGATTATCTTGAATGTAAAGTGTAGATAATTATAAAATTTTTCGCGTTAATGGGCCTTCAACCCTGGCTAAAACAATTTTCCGGTATAATCAGCTACCTATATATATCGAAGCAAATCAATACCTAACTTAGTCTGAAGTAAATTTAGCAATAAAAATGAAACTCCTGGCTTTTCTGCTTCTTAGCTTGTATATTTTTGGTGTGTCATCTGAAGAGGTAATTTTAACAAATACGTTTATTTTTAAACTGCAATATTCAAATTAAAATATTTGCAATATAAAATTTAAATAAAATTATAGGTAAGCAGCACTGAAACCTGTCTGAGCTACTGTGCACTAAACCATAAGCCTGTTTGTGGAAATAATGGAACGTGCAGATTTGAATTCAAAAATGTGTGCTATATGAAAAATGCTAATTGCTTTTCCACTGAGCACGGTAGGCCAGGTAATTAAGAGTAATTTCCAATTTTTAATCGAAATTTTGAATAATTAATTTTCTTTTTTTAAGAATTCAAATTAAATAACAAAGGACCATGCCTTGGCAATAGAAACAAATGTATTGGTGTTCAAATGGAATAGGACTGTCTACAAGAGGTATTTGATTGTACTTAAATCATTTTAGCATTTTATCCAAGGATAAAAACAATTTAATATTATTTAGCCAGGATATTTATAGGTGGACATCGCAAAAGTTCCCCCTGACCACAAAGCTGAGTTACAGAGCTTTTTCTAACACCGGAAACGGAAGTCACAAAGGCACAAGAAAACTTTTACTTTCCCATGATTGTTAAATTGAATAAAAAAAGCAAAATTTGAAATATCCTGAATGCAAAGTGTAAGCTCGTTTGGGTAAATAATTTTAATATAATTGAAAATGTTGATAAAAACAATAATTTTGGTTGTTTAATTAGCTTCTTGGGATTAAATATCTATACAAAAAGGTGTCTAAAAGCTGGCAAGAAAATGTTTTTAGGTAATGAAAAATCTTGACCACATTTTATTCATTAAAGTATAAATCGTCTTGAAATATATTTAGAAAAAATGGTCTCAAACCCATCGCACTTACAGTAATTAAATTTAATTCAAAGAACTCAACCCTGAAAATATACATATATAGAAAGCAAAAACTTTGTTTGGAAAAGTCATAAAGGTCAACAAGTTTTTTTTGTGCACTCGAGACATTCATATGTGTGCGGCCTGAATGCGACATGCTGAAGTATTTTCCACACAATAAAATTACAGCATAGTTTTAGCCCCTCTCCAACCTTTCCCCATCTCAGCGGCAGCGTTTCCGCCTTGACGCTGCCAAACAAAAGGCACCCGGGAGGCCGCAAAGTTGAGCAAAATGTCGAGCCGCCTCTAAAATAAACTGACACTCGCACAGCATACACACAAGGCACACAGACACACACACACATCAGCTACACACACTCAGGGTGACGTTAGAGGCGCGAAAATGTTCGCCTTCCGCTCGCCATTTTTGCGGCCAACGCGTCTCTGAGTCGCATTTTCATTAATTTAATTTGCCAAATGCGGCATAGTTTGTGGTAACAAATATATAAAGTAGTCGACTCTTAGATGAACTTTATTTTAAGTGAGGTTTAAATGAGAATTACTTAATAGATATGATTATATTTTGTAATTAAATTTTAACGTAATATATTTATTATTTATTTCTTTATATTTATTGAATGGTAGGGATTAAAAGCTACTGCTTTCTTAGTATTTTATATTATTTAAGACAAAATCTTTTCTTTTTCTCTTTTCCTGCATTTTACATAGCACATCAATATCGATTTTAATATTATTAAATTATTAAAATCTATTAAAGCTCTTGGTAACCCCACAAATTAGATATTTCTTTCAAATTTTTCTGCAAAAACTGATTAACTTTGGATCTGCAGAGCCCTGTGACTAATGAACAAGTTCACCAAGTCTTTGACATTTATTTGAAAATAGCTCTCGGTGCCATGCTCTTTTGGCTTTGCACAATTTGCCTTAATTATGGCCTAATTGTTGCCTACTTAAAGGCGCAAAGGAGACGTGGAGCACACACACACACAAGTTGTGGAACGAGGGCTAATTGCTCGCCTCGCTTCCCATTCTTTGGACTCGCATGAATAATGCTCTTTCTCGTTGAAACCAAAGTCATAAATTTTAATTTGCCAAGTTCAAATAACATGTCGAAAACAATCTTCCCTTCTCACCCTCTCCCTCTGTGCTTGTCCATTACAATTTGGTTTATCGGAGTCCTGGGAAAATGCAATTAAACTTTACACAAAAATATCTAATTGATTTTCAAAAACCCAAATTTAGTGGCTTCTGGCATTTTCGCGGAAAAGTCCATTCATTGATTCAGTTGATAATTGAAATTTGTGACAGAATTTGGGCTTCTTGAAATTGCTTAATGGTTTTAATATGTATATTTGCGAGATGTAATTACATTTCTATGATATATATATTTATTTTCTCAATATATTTCTAAGATTTTCAAGCTGTAAACTTATAAGGTTCAAGGAAAATGCTACAATTAAGTTAAATGATATGATTTCCAGAATTCAACCCAAACACTGAAATATTTTTAGTAAAATAAAAATTATAAATAAATTAAACACAGAAATCTCTTTTAAATAAAACCCAAATTATGGTTTCATATGTAAATTTCTGACACCATTATTTTCATTTCTCAAAATCATTGCAAACGCAATCCCGCCCAAACAAACCCTCACGGCAATTATAAATATTTTCTTTACTAATTTGTGCTGATTAAAATACACGCAATATTTCTCCTCTGCGGTGCGTAATGGCTTACTTAAAATATTAAAAACTAGTTTCGGCAAATTAAACCAACACACCGAGGAGGTGTGGTCCTGGAAAAATGAGAACAGTGGTGATTTACAGGCTCTGATGCGACGGCACAGCGGGTCACAGGACAAACAATCCACCGCAGGCTGATGCAACGTGGCTGCCACAATGGTCGGTGAAGGAGGGGGCTTGGCAATTTGCATGAAATGCGATTTTTCGCAGGCGTTGCATAATATTTCGCCCTGTGCGTGAAATTTCCAGGGCTAACGGGAGCAACAGAATGAATTAAGCGAACGCATTATGCGCACATTCTCGGGCACGGTGGTTCCGCCATTAAAAGTTGTAAGGCGTAAAATCAGCATTACAGACTTTAAACAACACTTCCAGCTTTAATTGGCAATCATCATGTACAGTTAAATTTTTAATTAAAACTAAAGTTGGCTTGTGAGAAAATTAATGCAGGTTGTTATTAGAATTTAAACATTGAATTCGGTGCCTCAGAAATGGCATTGCAGGCTTTTAGACACCTTATTGGACACCTTATTACTGTAAAAAAATCATTGCATACTTTTAGACACCTTCTTAGAAGGCTTCTTAAATCCTAGTTGTTAAAGATATATTTAATATTATTTTCAAGGGTATAAATAATTTTGTAATTTATAGAGAAGTCCAAATATTTATTTAAAAATTACCAATTTCGGATTACAGACTTACATCGTAAGGTAAGCTGCTGCAAGATTCATCATTGCATACTTTTAGACTTAATTTTAGGAAGCTTTGAAAGCTTAGTCATTTTTGGTACTCGTTTTAAGGGTATTAATAATTTGATAATACAAAATTCAGATATTTATATATAAAACCTCAATTTCGGAACACAAACTTAGCACTTAGGGGAAGCTGCTGCAGGGAAAACTTTTAATTGACTCCCGCCTTCTTTCCTTTCTTCCTGCCTTACCCCATTCTAAGCATCGAAACTATAAACTAACATGATTGCTTGGTGATTATAATTTATGCATGCCGGCGAGAGACTCATGCAACTTTAATAGCATTATGCCACGCCCTCACGGATACGGATATAGCCGTCGCCGATAAGATATAATGATATGTAGTAGGGGCATGTCAAATGCGGGCAACTATGTTAAACAATGAACTCCATCTGTCCATCTTTCCACACCCGCTACTTTCCATCCAACCATCCATCTTGTGTGTCAGGCATTTGATACTTGCCCCCGAAGAAGTGTACAGGGAAATCATTCCACAGAAATTCAATGGTTTTGCCCAGGGAAAACCCGTCACAGGCAGAGAGAGAGACAGCGTGCGTGGGTGTGAAAATGAGCCACACTTGGCAGCCTGGTTGGGTTGTATCTTTTGTATTTAAAATACAGCGAGAGTGGGGAATCCCATGCGTATAATAGGCAGATATGTTTAAGTGAATGTAAGTGTGGAGGAAATGAGCCTATTAATCAGGTGAAAAAGCTGTGAAAGCCAGATTTAAATAGGGGGGTGTTCAAGTCAGTTACTTGTTGATGAAAAAATTTGATTTTAAACATATTAAAAATTGGTGTACTATTGTGAGTAGTAATTATAATATTTTGGGAATGAATTCTCTATTATAGAGATCATATTAGAGTTCCCAAAAGACTCCAAATAATCTTTAAGTTTAGGGTGTTGCACAACATGGTTATAGCAACATTTATTTTTACTTGGATGTTGCGCAACATGTTCCTGGCAACATCTGTCTTTATTTGTTAATATTTTCTTCTGCTTTCCACACTGTTTAATTTAAGTTTTTTATAAGATAATGTAATTTGAAAAGGAAAATTAGCCAGGTCCAAATTTATCCACAATACTTTGGCTACCGGGTATCTCACAGTCGAACACCCTCAGCTATATCCTTTCCACTTTTTTATTTTGTGCCCTGTCCTCAATTCGTGCCCTGCATCCGGCCAACTCATGAATCACCAGTTCAGTCTGAAAGAAACAGGCAAATTATTTATGTTAATTATGGTCGGTTGGTTGGGTGGGTGGATGGAAAAGAAAGTTGTCACTGACCCAACCAAACCAAAGGACCCTCTGCCGCCAACTGTTGCCATATCTCGCATCTCCACTTCCGTTCCGGTTTATTTTTAATTATTTCGCAGCATTTTACAGGGCTGTAAGTGGCAAATTAAGGAATTATGCAAGAACAATGGCCGTAACGAAATGAAATTTCGTGCTTGGCCAATCGCAAAGAGTTTAAAAGTTTGCATCGTTTTCCTGACATCTCCGCTGAGCGTGTGTTGTGTGTGCTGTGCCAGGGCATTATGCAATCGCCACAATCCGCAATTAGTTGCGCACTTAATCCGAGACGCAAACAGCACCATCACCATCACCAGGACCAGGGACCGGCATCAGGAGCCACCAGAGCAGAATGACACTCCGATTAGCACTGGCCATGATGGGACTAATCCCATCCTAACGCCGCAAACTTCAAGCGATTGCCAAACTTGTGCACAGCTTGCCCCCAGTGCCGGCTTAAATACCGGCAATTAGTTGGCAATTCTTGTTTACTCTCTAAACTGAGACCCCGATTCTTAAACTTTGCCCTGGCTGGCAGAACCTCTGATTAATGTCTGTGTATATCCTGGCGATTGTTTTTCGATATAAAATCCAAGAGCGTAGCGCATATTAATCAGTTGACACACAAACAAATGGAGCTGCTCAAGGCCGTCGTCTGGACTTGATGGCCAAACAATAGAGAACTTTCGGTGACCTCGCCACGAGAGAGGTGAGTTTTCTCGTCTTTCAATATTATTTGCCCTTTGTTTTTAGCTCACCCACTCTGCCAGGTTTTTCCTAATTAATAAAGCCACTCTTGGCCATATTCGACGTGTATATGTATGTATGTATATTCCTTGACATCTGCTAATGAATGTGCAACCCTTGCCCAAGGTTGTCAAGGCAACCCCAGACTCTGGCAATTAGGATCATGTAAGGGATGCGGCGAAGGGATTATTAATCAGTGGCTAGGATAATCTATAAAGTCTCTCTCTCTCTACGTTAAAAGCTCAATTATAATATTTACATCATCTTTAATATACATTCAACACAATCGGTTTAAAAAGGACATGAATACAAAAATACAAAACACGACTTTCAAATACTTAAAAATGTGACTAGATCCTACTCAGAGCCTTCGGGCACCTCCAGGTTAAGGCAGTTAATCCAAAAGGCATCAATGGTATGGTACAGGTGCGGCAGAGCATTGCCAATGCCATGGTTTTCATCGGTATAGGTCTGGATATTTATTTAAAAAATTTATTAAAATTATAGTAGAAAACAATAATTAAATTGTTATATGCTCTTACCTGCTCTTCGAACTGAATATCCGCCCTTTGAAGCTGTTTGGCCAACAGCAGGGAATGCTGATAGTGGACATTATCATCACCAGAGCCATGAATCAACAGGAAATCATGGGTCTTAAAGTTTTCCAGGTTCAGGAAAACACTGCTTTCATTATATTTCTTTCCATTATCATTTTCTGTAGGCAGACCCATGTACCGTTCGGTATAAATTGTATCTATTTAAAAATATAAATTAAAGATATAAATAAATATAAGAAATACTTATTTGATAAAGGAAATACTCAACAAACCATAATACAACCAAGAGGTAACAGGAGCCACTGAAACACCACACTGGAATATCCTATTATCATCCTTCTCAATCGTCTTGGCCGTCATGTAACCACCATAACTCCAACCCCATATGGCGCAACGATCCTGATCCACATAGGCAAGATTCTGCTGCATCCAGCGGGTGACAAACAGCTGATCCTCCACCTCATGTTCACCCAGATTGTTGTTGACCGAAAAGAGCAGATCCTTGCCCTTGTTGCCCGTACCACGACCATCAATGTAAGCATAGATCGTATCCCTGGAGGTGGTAACAAAGGCCTCGTAGCCCAGCGTGAATCCATTGGTAACCCGCACCGAATTGGGTCCCTGGTAGACCACCACAATCAGTGGGTACTTCTTGGTCGCATCAAAGTTGGGCGGCAGGGCGAGCTTGGCGAATCCAATGCTACCATCGGCCAGGGTGACATTTAGGAAGTGGTAGGTGGGACGCAGCTTCAACGCTATTTTGGCACGGTACTCCGTGTTGGGTTCCCAGTCCACCTGGCGTGTGTTTCCAGTAGCCTCGTAGATGCCCACATAGGTGGGATTGGGTCCACTGCAGGAGAGTGTGTAGTAGGAGAAGGCCTTGCTAAAGGTGGCACTGGCCGATAGACAGGCCACTCCATCCACATCGATGAGGCCGCAGCTAAGGCACTCGTTGTTGCTGTACACATGGTACACAGAGGGATCATTAGCCTGGGTGGCTTGGTAGTAACTTGAGAAGAAAATATATAATTAATATTATTAATAATAAAACATTTTATAATAACTTACAGTTTATCCCTGGCTTCATCATATCCATAAACGGTCAAGACCGTGAAATTACCACGCGATTGCCAGCTGTTTACGCCCGTCTCCAGGTTTAGGTTCCACACCTGCTTCCAGTTGTCAATAAAGTAGGAGAATATACAGCTTTTGCCCGAGCTCAGGCACTTGGGAGTGCTGATGTCCACCCAACCGGATGGCTCCTCCAGCCGCTTGACCTCAACACAATCACCCTGGTAGCTACAGCTCTGAATGGAGGAGAGGTTCTGTCGCCTGTTCATCCAGGTTATGAGCAGGTGTGTCTCATTGGACCACACCACATTCTGCAGAATGTGATCGCTGCTGACAACATCCACAGGTGCCGAAATGCGCTGCACAGTGGGATCATTGTTGGTGACATCGTAAACACGCAGGCTCACCAGAGGATTCTTAGTGCCCGACTTGGGGTACTTGAGGTGCTCCTCATGAGGATACTGATAGTTGGTGGTTTCCCCATCGCCGTAAAGGAAGTAATTAAATGTCTCCACATCGGTGTCATCGAAGAAGCCCACAGTTAACTTGGTGCCATCCGGCGACCACCAAAGAGCGCTCCCGCTGCTCAGCACCTCCTCCTCGTAGACCCAGTCGGGCACTCCATTGTACACCACTCCGTCCACGCCGTCTTCCGTGATGCTAATCTCCAGGTTCTCGTTGAAGTGGATGTACACATTGTTCAGGTAAACATAAGCCAGGCGATCCCGCAGTGGCGACCATCCGCAGTACTGCAACTTCTCGCCCTTGTGAATCTGTATGGTGGTGTTGGTCTCGATGTCATACACGTCGTACTGAGCTATGTACGAGTGGCGGAACTTCTCCGTAAGGTTGTGACGGATCAGGATCTTGGTGTTGTCCGCCGAGAGCACAAAGGTGGCTCCCAGATAGTTGTTCTGGAAGGTTTATAAATATTTATTAGCTCTTGAATGGTGAAGGAAATGGGAGTTAAGTTACCAGAAAGGATGAATCCTGGAAGATCGTATCCGTCTTGGTGGCTGCATTAAATTTGTGAATGGATCTGTCGGAGGCTGTGTAGTAGAATTCCTCATCTGTAAGGTGGATAAAGGAAAGGAAAGTTATTATTAATATTAAATTTGTGGAGATTAGAAAAATAAGTGAATAAGGTAACACCTTAGAAGCCTTGCTTTAAGAGAAGGTAATAAATTATGAATAATTTAAAATTTTTATAAATTTCTATAAATTTTAGGATATATAATTAATAATTCTTGTATATTATATTATATTTTAATAATTTATAATTCATAATACTGTCTGTGGTTGTACCTCATTGCTAATGTGTTACCTCACTGTGGTTATGGTTTTCAAAAAATAAAAACCCTTATCATGATTCCGAGAACAATTAGAGCAAACAGATAGAAAAACTGGTTTCATGTTTCTTGAATGAGTCAGTTTTTAAAAATTAATTGGTGTAGATATGTAAAGATATTTCAATATAATTAAAATATGTGGGTTTTTGTAAAAATCAATGTTTACATGGAATTTGTTTTTGCTCTTATGTTTTCCAGATTATTAAAAATCTTCAATGATAAACCTGAAACCCCTTTTCAAGAGGCAGTTTTATAATTCAACTACCTTATATGAATTTTGCATTTAAGAAAGTTTTTTTATTTTTAAGTTTTTATAACTCTTGCCTTTCAAGGAGTGCTTTTTGAATTGATTTTACCTTCTCCTACTACTGTTCTTTCACTAATTAGCATTCACTTTTGTATCTAAATAAGCTTGACCACAACAATACCAAATTAGTCAAAACAATAGGCAACTTGAGCTTCCAGTTGGTATTAGTTGCATTTTTGGTCCAGTGCCAGGTTAGAGAAATTTAATTTAAAATTGTTATGTGGGAAGTTGACAGGGAGAAATCGACTTAACATATATTTTATAAAGATAATCTAGCTAGCACCATCATTTATTATAATACTGGAATTAAAATTAAGCCATAATTGCTGGACTTCAATAAGCCGGAAAACCTGAGTTATATTTTTATAAACTTAATCAAATTTTGGGGAAAATCTTTGAATCTATGGGGAGATCCCTATGGTTTTATAAATCTGGCTGACAAGCTGGTTATTCCATCTCCTAACTATAGTTTCCTTCTAAATCTCGTTTCCAATTTAAGGGTATAAATACAAAGGTATAAAAACTAGTGACAAATTCTAACGAAATTGAAAGATTTCCAGCCTTATCTAGTGATTGTAGTAAACCACAAGACGTCGATAAGAAACGAAATATAATCGTGCTATCGAGCGACTAGCTGATGCTCGTAATTCATTGAAGATTAGATTTCACGACAAGCAACATTGAAAATTTGTGTGCGAATAGTGCGAAATGTGGGTTTAACTCTATAAGAACAAAACCTAACATAGAATTTATAATTGAAAAGGAAATTTTAACTTAGAAACTTAAACAAGAATATAATGATTTTATCTTAAGATTACCTTAAAGGTTTTTCAAATTTAAATACCAGTAATTGGTAGTAATACAACTTAAATGTAATCCTTAAGCCCTAGATAATCCGAAACTGAACTTATCCCCTACTTATCTCTATTTCGGGGCCCTGATTTTAATCCTATTTGAGATTTGGGATTGGACTAATTACCTTTTGTTTGGAGATATATGTATACTTTTACATAATTAAGACATTCACTTTAATACAAATATAATTTCTATTTAAAAGATATCTAATAAGAACAGAGTAAAATAAAAAAAACACCTAAGATCCCGCAAAGATTTCAAAGAAAATTGAACAATTTTGTAGCTTTAGAAAATAAGAAAATCATCATGATATTAAAATTTGTAGTTAATTTTTTTCTGTGCATCACTAGTCCGGGTAAACGCCTGACCCTGCACTCTGCACTTGTCTGTTTAGTCAGAACTGAATACAAGTAGTACATTGTACACACTTGTATGTCATACATAAATTAGTCCATTGATAAGGGAAGGGCACAGCTCCCGCTGATGATGGAAAACTGCTCTGTGGGTGGGTATTCCCCAGTGATAACTCCCCGAGGCGGGGAATTCTAGGGAAAAGAATAGCTCTACAGCTCGCATTGGCGAAGGAAGACAAACAAGCGCCAAAAGGTGGGTCATCGAACCGACCCGAGAACCGAGAACGGAGACCCGCGAGGCAACCAACCTGTTATCCAGGTGCCATTGAAACCGCGAAGCCCTGATGTTCCCGATAGCGCCTCCGTTAGCTCCCACGCTGTTTTGCTTTCGCTGTCCTCCCGTCCAACGGCCGCTGCCAGCGAGGTGCTCGGGCCCAAGCAGAGGCACAAACAGAGGCCGAGGCCGGCGACCAGCAGCGATGATCTGTCCAGCATTTCTGTCCGTAGCTAAAATCTCTGATTTTACACTTGTCACACCGCGAAAACAAGGTCCGGAACGAAACGCACAGGGGCACCGCCAAAAAGCAACTGAATTGAAATCAGAAATCAATTACAATCACACAGCAATTAGCGCTGCGGCAGAGGAACAGCGCAGGCAGCGGCTGATAAAGAGATAGGAGAGAGAGCCGCTATGAGCGGTAAAGAGAGCGATCGGTTTTCGAAAAAAAAAGATATATATTTGCTCCAAGCTGCTCTTGAAGCATACAAGACTTCTCTTTACCCTTACAAAAGGTATTTAACATTATTATAAAATTTAAAAAAAATTGTAAAAAATAAAATATGAAAAGGAATGAAAATGTATATTTAAAAAATAAAAAAGTAAAAGTCTAACCATTTTTTTACACTTAGTATTAAAACTATTCAAAACTATACCTTATACCTTATTGAATATTTTAAATTATACATTATTACTGCTTAATTTCATAACAAATTATAAATTCTACAAGAAAGAAAGCCTCTTTCATTCAATTAAATTTAAAATAACATAAATTTTATTAAAATCTCTAACTTATTTTGTGGCCATTTAAAATATTATAACAATTATAAAAGACACTTAAATTAAACAAATTAGCCATATAAATAATTATAATAAAAATAAACTAAATATTAAGTGCTTCCACTGTTACATTTAATATGGTTAAAATGTTATGTCATATTTCATCCGAAAAATATAGTAAAATATTAATATCTTTAGCATCTGAATTATGAAAGAGATACAGATCGTTGAAGTAAAATGTTATTAACTCCAGTTTAAAATTTTAAGAAGTATATTTTTTCTTTATTTTAAATAGCATCTGACCTAATTTCTTAACAGTTGTGATTAAATATTAAATAATAGATATAATTATTATTATATTATTTATGCACTTTGAAGAAACGAATAAAATTAATCAATTTATAACATTTTTAGAAAATGTTTTTTTGTATTTTTGATTTACAGGAAAAACAAACCGTAAAATCCAAATTTCATACATTTATATTATTTTTCTAAAAGCTTTTAAGACTTACCTGTTTCCCATGAGCCATTGAATGTTCTCTCCCAAGCTTGGCTCTCAAAGGCATCCCGTAAGTTCCAGGAGCTCTTCTTTGGCGACTCTAGTTTGGCTTCAGATGAAAAAATGCTTCCGAATAATACACATTGAAACAGTACCAAAAAAACACTTAATTTTAATCCACCGTGCATAATTGCAAACTAAATCTCAGACAGCAATTTTTAAAACGTTCCAAGCAGCTCGAAGTCTCAAAAATGAATGAGAAAATATAGAGAAAAGGTTAAAAAAAAAAAGTGAAACGAAATCATTAAGGAAAAGTTAAAAGAAAAAGTGAAACGAAATCATTAAGGAAATAATTTAAAATATTTTTACTAGCAACTCACAGGTATCAGCATTAAACTAACAAAATCTAAAATGCCCTTGAACTTTTTTGTTTTTTATATTTATTTATTTATTAGGTTTATCGTAAATCTTATAAACAGTGAAGCATGTTTGTTTTCGTTTGTTAAGTTATGTGTTTCTGATTTAAAAGGGGACACACTGAATCAGCACAGTGCAGCACCCACAAAGGGAAACAATTTGTCATGCAGTCCAGAAATTAGTTTTTAAAAGTCCAAAAATGATTCTCACTGCGGCCGACCGGCTGCTGGCAGCTGCTGATGGGACGCCGGCTGGTGTGGCTGCTGCTGGGAGAGCTGCATTATGCGGCTCAGAATCTGCGTCTGCTGCTCGAGACACTTGGGAAAGAAGGACTGCAAGAGGTCAACCTTGCGCCTCTCCAACTCCAGCCGCTGGCGGGAGATCTCGGTCTGCTCGTACAGCAGTTTGTTCTTCCGTCGTACCTCCTCCATGTAGAGGGCTTCCAGGGAGTCGGCCGCCGGTAGATTGACCGAGCCGTGCGGGCGACCGCGCTTTCGTGGCACGGGAACAGGGGAGACGCCTACGACGGACGAATTGGGGATCGGATTGCTGACCGGAGCAGGAGCCGGGGAAGGAGCTTGTGCTGGAACTACTGCTGCTGGAACTGGAGCCGGCATGCCGCCATTGGAGTTTGTGGCCACGCTGATCGTGTTATTGCTGCTGTTTATGTAGGCCACCGCAGTAATGGGCTGATGGTTGATGCTCGACGTGGCCACGGCACTGATGGTGCCGCTATTGTTGTTGGCAAAGTGAGCCGGTTGCTGTTGAAACTGATGCTGCTCATAGCCGGGCTGATACTGCTGTTGCTGCTGCTGCTGTTGATGCTGCTGCTGCTGTTGTGGCGTTTGCAACTCGAGCAGCTGGGCCGGCTCGGCTGGCGAATACTGTTGCAGTTGCTCTTGGAAGGGCAGCGAGCGGTACTCATCGTCCTCGTACTCCTGCTTGACCACCTCGTCATACTGATCCGTGAACAGCTCTGTGCTGAAACTCATGCCGCCGCTGTTGTTATTGTTGTGGCTGCTGCCATGGTTGCTGTTGCTGCTGCTGTTGTAGAAGGTGGCGGCAGGTGGCTCGGCAGCCAGCACAATGCCTTGCTGCTGAACCGCCTGCTGCTGAAGTGGCTGCTGTTGCGACGGCAGCTGATCCATTGATCCGTCTTCCCGGGGCGGAGTCATATCGCGGTTATTGAGCAACGCCTCTGGTGGCAGTGGCTCGGCGTTTTTGGGCCTGTGCAGGTTCTTCAGGATCCGGTTTATAATGTCATACTTCTTCCATCGCGTGGCATAGCTGGTGGGATCTGCCTGCAGGTTTTTCTTTACCTGTCTGTAGGTAAGATTAGCAATAAATCCGTTTTGGACCACTCAAAAATGTGTTCACTTACCTGAACTTGGCCCTGGTCTGGTTGACCTTCATCTGGATCTCCTCCGGCTTAACGTCCACACCATACCGCTCGCGCAGCTCTTCTGCCCACTTGCCAAAGAAGATGGTGTTCTTGCCGGTCCGCGTCAGCCGCCAATTATCGCGTCCCCAGATCTCGTACAGTCGCTCCTCCTCGCTGGGCGTCCAGTACCGGCGCGCCTTCTCCTTGGCCCTGCCATCGAGCATCTCCTGCCCCCCGCACATGCTCGAATCCTGTTCGGCGCCGCTTCCGCTGCCGCCGCCGCCGCCGACTGCGCTGCCTACGCTTGCGTTCAGCGCCAGCTTCTCGTAGTCCATGTACTGCGCTCCTGCCTCAGCTAAGTGCGCCCGCGTTCCTCGTGGTCCCCCGGTCTACGTGATGTCCAAATTACACAATGCAGTGGGGTTTTCAAGGAATGCAGGGGAAGCCAAAAGTTTTCTGCACAAAAAATCAACAACAGCTCTGATACACAGAAGAGTGTGACCGTGCGTGGGGAAAACGCCGATATCGCCAGCCAAAGCAGAGTTGCCAGACTGTTAGACTTTCGAATTACTGGCATCAGTTGTTTTTTAAGCCCGGTTCTACATAGAAATAGCAGCGTGCCATCAAATTTTGGAAATAACTCGAAATTTTCCACTTTCGGGGAAGTACCAAAATTTCAGAACGCGAAAGTTGGTCGCTCATGAACGAAAAGTCTGGCAGCGCCGAGAGTAAGTTACTTTGCTATTCTAGTGTGACCAGCTGGCAGGAACAGAAAAAACCACATTGCATCAAGTCAGCACTTTTTGTTGTTATAAATAGTAATTTCGACCGGATTTCGTGATGTCCTGGATTTTATAATTGAAAAATGAGTGGGGCAAAGCACCAGCGTTTGCGCTACTACACCTCCTTGGAGGAGGCCATGCTGGTACGCGTGTGGCGCGCGCACATGCACGATATTGCCTCCTACACGGACAACTTACCGATTTTCCGGGAAATCGCCGATGGACTGCAGAAACATGGAATTCGGCTGAACAAGCAGGAGGTTCGCCGGCGCATCAACAGCTACCGCAATAAGTATTTGTAAGCAGCAGCAGTAGCAGACCTTCTAGAATTCCCCTTCTAACATTCGATTCGTCCTGCAGAAACGAACGCAGCCGCGTGGAGAGCAATCCAGAGTACAAGTCCGAGTGGCGCCTCTATTCTTTGGTGCACTCGCTCTTCCAGCCCACTTACCCTTCAGCGGACATCAATGAAGCGCACAAAGTGCTGGAGGCGGCCGCTACGAGGGCTCGGACAGAACTGCCCGCCCTGCCGCCCATGATAGTGTCCACCACCATCCAGCCACAGTTCAAGCGCGATCCGGATGGATGCGCATTTCTGGATGTCATGCCCGGCATTCCGCCAACCGTGGTAAAGACAGAAACTTACAACGGGCCTTACAGCATGGTCAAGACTGAGACCAAGCCCACAGAAGCCGAGCTGTCGAACGCGGCGACCCTTTATGCGCTTCCAAGGACCTCGGAGGATATATTACGACGGGCACCACTGGCACCCGCCAATTACCAGCTGCCAGATCTGCCGCTGACGGCCAAAGTCAACGGCCTGCCGGACGCTGATAGGTTATTGAAGAGGAAACGCGGACGGCGCAGTATATTGCCACGCAATGGACAAATCACAATGGCCCAAGTGGAGCAGCTACGCAAGGAGAACCAAATGCTGCAGGAGCAAAACGATGCTTATCTCCTAGAGCTCGAGCAGAAAGAGAAGCAGTTCGTCGCGCTGGAGGAGGCTTTCCAGGCCTATAAGAAACACCAGGAGAGCATGTTGGCGCAGATAATGCATCTTGGTGTAAAGAATGAGCCCTATCCTGATCACTAGCGCCTGTTTAGCCTGTAAGTTAGCTTTAAGGGACTAATGCCAACGGAGGCACTTCCTCCTTTGTTCCTTTCTTAAACAAAAGTCTAGTTTAGTCAATGTACAAAGCAGCCTAGCAAACCGAAGATATTTTTTCCACCATATTTCTAAGTGAGAATTGAGAGTGAATTGGATTGATGAAATGTTAAAGGGCAGCTAACATAGCAGAGTCACAAGTCTTTAAATGATAAGGAATGTAAAAAATAGATTTATATAAGCATAACTACACATAAGAGCAAAATGGAATCAGTTCTGCATGTTGTGGAGAACGGAACTGAAAGAGAATAAAATGTAAATTTAGTTTGTTAATGGAATTTGTTTATATTAATATAAATTTTGTTTTAATTTTTATCAGAACTGAATCACTTTCTTGGTTGTTCTAACTGATGTTCATTGTGGAACCTTGTTTTTTTTTTTGCCTAATTTTGCAATTGAATAACCTTTAAATTCACTTTCACTCGAAAGGAATTTCGGCAAATTAATTACCAGCTAAGACAGGTATTAAATGGAGAGTCACAGGTGCGTTCAATTTCAGAATGAAATTGGCTTTCAAATGTGCTTAATATGGAGGAAGGCAAGGCAGCGTTTGGTTGGGAAATCGCTTAATTATACTTGGACACCACCACCTGTTCACTTACCATCTCTTATCCCCATCGTAATTTTCGCGTGCCGCCGGCCAATTGAAATGTTTGAGCTGCACGAAAGTTGCCATTGATTGATTGATTGAATGTTTACGGGGTTTGGAGAAGATGAAATGCAGATGCTAATGATGCATCTACATTCAGGTAATTCTGTTCAATTATTGACCATTTGATTGATGCATTCATAAATGGTATAGGACTTTTATCGCTTAATGTGAAAGAAGCACCATAGAAGGAATACTTAGAAATATGCCAATATAATTTGACTTTTAAATTATTTTTTTAAGGTGAAATCAGCGCGACAGGAACGCAAATTACTCAAGTTCTTATTTATTATAAAAATAATCAAAAGCAACGAAATTTTTGAATTCTTAATTCGATGTTTAGAACTTGGTCATAAAATTGTTTTGACTTAAAAAATGATTTTTTATTTTATTAAATTTTAAAAATAAATAAATATTAACAGTTGAATTTCCTAATTGTCTTGGGCGTACAAATATTTATCTGTTTTATTATTTTGAAAAGCATTTTTATACATAGCTGAGAAATGTGAAAAAATAAATATTACATTTATAATTTTTAATGCAAGATAAACAAACCTTAATATTTAATGTAGAGTTGTTAAATTTTGTATTTTTATTCATTTATTTTTTACAAAAAATGAGATGTAATTCAGTATTGAGCCAAGCAAGCTTATCATTTGAATTACAAATAACGCAAATAATAAGTCAGAAAAAATATTAAAATAATACTATTTGTAAGGTCATAAAATGTATTTTCCCCATAAAATACATCGTATATTCCGATATAAATATTATAATAAATAAATAATATATAATAATTATAAAATAAGATTAATTATAAATAATATAATAAGCTAGATCTAGCTTGAAATAACTGATAACACAGCTTCAGAGTGACCGTAGTGAATCGGTACTAGCGGCAGTGATGTCATTTTTTTTCTGAGCAAAAAAAGCTGGATTAACAAAAATAAAAAAAGGTGAAATAAGCGGAATTCCATAAGGAAAAACCTAAGAAAAAACAAGACTTTTAGAAAATAAAATTTTTTTGTTTTTTATTTTAATTTTAGCTTATTCTAGCTTTTTATTCGACAAATTTAGCTTATGCATGCGCTCAACACTGTCTTTCTCAAGACTCTCATCTGGGTGACCGAGGTTGTAGTCCCAGATGGGGTTAGTGTATCAGGTGTGGTTCGAGTATCAGGTGTGGATTTTTTAGAGGAAATTTTAACTTTTTGATATTTTTTAGGGCCAAATTTTCAAAATAAGTAGATAACGAGAGGAGCAGCGCATTGTTTTTTTCAATTTCGAACGAAACGGGTGTGTTTTTGCGCGTGTGTGCGGCGGACGCGCGTGCCAATCGGAAAACCAAAAACCACGGCCTGAGAATTAAATGTGTTTTTCGCGAAAAGCCAAAAAGAAGGTGCGTTTGTGTGTGTGGTGTGTGCGGCAATGAGCCGGAGAAAGCCAGCTTATAAATAAAGATCGCCGAGAGAACGGGCCGAACCGAAATAAATAGCAGAACGCTGTGCAGGAGCAGCAACAAAAACAGCATCGAAAGCTAAAGAAAAACAAGTGTAACACACAAATTTTAATGCGCGAGGTCTTTTGCATGTTTGTGTTTGCTGTGTGCACTGCCTGCGAGTGTGTGTGTGCGTGCGAGCGAGAGAGAGAGAGCGTCACCCAAATAAACAACAAAAATTGAATTGATGGGAAAGAGAAGGAAGAGTGCAGCAGAAGCGGTTGTTTTTGTTGTTGCTGTTGCATGTGGCATGACCAAAAATCAGCTGGCCGCCATCTCGCTCTCTCTTTCCCTCCCTCTACCTCTGCCACCCATCCACTCGGAATTTCTAGCAGTTTGGGTGTAAAAAAGCGCCGCTTTTCCTTTTTAGGCTTACATTCTGGACACACAACTCGGGCTTATCCTACATACATCTCTTTTCTCCAAAGTCACACTATGCTACAAATGTGAAAAACCCGTTCCGTTTTGCCTCTTTTCTCTCTCTCTCTCGCTCTGTGTCACGCCTAGTGTGGTTGTTGTTTTTGTTCTTATTGCCTCTACTTAATGCCTCTTTCATTCATAGAAAACGGTCAGCAAAAGGAACAACAAAAACCACAACGGCAAAAGCGGCAGCGCGATTTCTTTTCTTTTCGCTACGTAAAAAATAAACACAAAAAATAAGCCAAAAAGCTAAAATCAAACAACAACCGAAGCCAAAAATCAAAAGAAATCAAATTTCAAATTCGTGCTGCAGCAGCAACAACAACAATAACGATAACAAAAGAAAGAAAATTATTAAAATCATCATTACCATTGGCAGCAGCAGCAACAAAAACAACAACAACAGTCGACAAATTGCATGGCAGTTAGTGTCTGTGTGTGTGTGTGTGCTTTTGTATGTGTGTACGTGATGTAAGTTCGATAATAATTTCGTACAATCGAAAATGTTTATTTTATATCTGAACTATTATGCCTAACTGGCGCCATTGTTCATTTGTTAGCTATTATTGTTGTTGCTGTTATAATTTGGCTCTCTTTCGTTTTCCGCTCTTTATCGGCACAAAAACTTGATTCATACATATGTGTGTATATATGTTTGCTCCATTTATATGCTATAGTTAACTTTTTAAATATTTGACGAAAGAGCCTCGTTTCCGTCTTTCCGTTTTGTGCATCGTAATTGCTATTTAAAGTTTGATATTTGAGGGAAAACTGATTTAAAATCGGTTTTTTTTATTAAGCATAAAAATATAATAAGCCTTAATATACCCTTACTTTCTCTTCTATACATAACTCGGAATACCCTACAAATCAATATTAACACTATTTTATCTCATCTTTCACTAGTATGTTAATTTTTCTTACAAAGTAAAGTTTTTCAATCGTTATTTGATTAAACAGTTAACATTGCCCATAAAAATATTAAAATTCTATTTCAGTTCTAAGATTTCAAGATAATTTTTGTATTTAAAAATAAAAATATTTTACTGATTTTGAGCTTACAATAACAAATCACATGTTTCTCATGACTGAAACAAAATTATTTGTTGCTGTTTTACTAGTCTAAAGAATTTAAGTGTCAACAAAGAGATTTCTCTAGTGATTTACAAAGTGGCTGTTGTTAGAGAGTCTACTGTTTTAGCTGATTACAGTTTTTTTTTTTAATTCTAAAGTCATCATGTGAGTGTAGACCAGACCATGGCCAAGAATTTTGATAAGGGCTTTACCTACGCCATAGGTATAATATTAATTGAAGTGATAAGCTAGCCAATCATAATTTTAACTTTATCTTAACTGAATAAAAGCCACTATATTTGCGATTATTCACTCGAACTTAGGATTTTCCTCTTCTCATTTTGATTAATTTGATTGGCAATCGCCTGTTAATTTTCACATTAACAAAACATTTGTTAACCTATTAAAAATATGTATGCATGATATTTTTTCTCTCGAAAGAGTGCTCATTAAAAGTCCGAGGGACCACATAAATCTTGCCGTCGTTTGTGGCTCAATAATGTCACCAAGTAAATATTTTGAACAACAAAGATATTAATTTATGCGCACGTCGCTTAAAAATAGAAATTGATGATGGGGTGCCTTGAAAAAAGCAAAATGATACAAATTTGAAACGAGAAAATATATAATAAACATTTCGATACAACCACCGACAACGTCTTGCTCTTGGGAACTAGCCATTGATCTTGTGGTTTTAACTCATCGTAAAAATGTTTTCCAGTATTATAATTTATGACTAATGGGATTTTAGCATGTTTCGGGATAATTATAATTGATTTATGTCTCTTTAATGATGACGGAAAACTAGAAATATCTTAAAAAATTACTATTACAATTGTCAAGTCTGAAAACTGTTTAAAAGAATATTTGTTGCCGCCTTTGTTTTATATTGAGCATGTAACTTAAATATTTAACTGCCTGGCTGCTCATTATTAATTGTTTCTTTTGGCCAAATATTCCCTCAGTTACCTGGAAAACATTACCTTTGTGAAGAGAACAGCGAGAATGGGCTAATCAAACGATCTATTCAACAAATGTTTTCCCCGGCCATGGCAAATATTTGCGGAGCACGTGAGGCACAAGAAATCGTACGTAGGAGTGCTTTGAGATCCGCCCGCCCTCGTCAAACCCTCTTTTCGATTTCCCCTCCGATTGGAAGTTAACATAGACGCCGTGTCGCATAACGTTGATAAGGGACACTGAAGGCGGTGCCGTAGGCAGGGGCGTAGCCAGAGGGGCAACGAACGCACTGTAGTGTTTTGGATTACGTGGAGGAGTCTCGGAGACGGGTTCCCGATAAGCTCGGCATCATTTCTAGTTTCTTGATAAACAGCAGCAACAATTATTCACAAAAGGCCTTAGCGGAAGTGCACAAAAGCTGTTCACTTTATAGCTGTTAAGCAGTTTCTCAAGATGTCGGATAATTTGTTTCACTCTGGGGGATGGAGGGACTTTGAGTGGGTTGGCTTGGCTGCGATGGGAAATTTTGTGCTCTTGGAGAAACAAATCAATTCGTGGAAAAGTTTATTTCCAAAAGAGGGGGTAAAGTATATCAATAGGAGATAAAGATTCATTATTGAAAAGTTGAAATAGGATTTATAGGAGGCTAATTAATATTGTTTTTCTGCCAAAATAATGTTATTTATTTTGTTTCCCGTAATTAGACACAATATTAGCCTGTCTTCCAGAAATATTTTGAATTTCTATGCTAATTGTTAGTTTTTCTTATTGAAAAGTAAAAGATTTCATTTATTTAAAGCCTAAGATTCTCATACAAGTTGAGGCTTAAACAATTTCTCTTTTGTATGTATTTATAATATATATTTAATCCAAATCCGTATCAAGAAACCAACAAAAACGCGCGTGTGTATCTTTTACCTCTTGACCTATAAAAATTCATAAATGTTGCTTGGTTACTTTTGAAGACGAAATGGGCAGCGCCACCTCCAAACTGACGTAACAACGGCGTTCACATGCATTTACACATCATTTGCTGTTTGTCATGGCGACAGATACAACGGCTAAAAAAACAACAACAACATTTATCATTTCGAAGCTATGGAACGCGTGTTGCCTGTCACTGGGAATGGGTTGCTCTGCCGGGACTGGACCCGCCGCCGTCAGTCGTCGTCGTCGAAGGGGTCAGGTTCATTTCAGGGGTCAAGCTTGGAACAAACTTTGGCGCTGCTGTCAGAAAATTTAACTGCCACATTAATTTGAGTTTGGCGTTCACACTTCTTTAGCCCGTTCTTCTTTGCCCAAGTCGAAGTATTGATTAATTAAGTTGGAAAATAAATTTAAATATAAAGTGAATACATTTTCTTTTAAGCTAAATATATTCACCATTAAAATAGTACATCTTTAGACATTTAGTTATTTTATTTTCTTTAGATTTACAAAGATTTTTGATGTTTGATTTACTCAACATTCGTTGGAAATTATGCTCTGTCATTCCCTCCTTTATAATTAATAACCTTTTCTCTCAATTAACTAAGAACATAGATTTGTATATATTTTTAATATAAATAAGTCTAGTGAAATGAGTCTTTTGTTCACTTTACGCTTGAATTAATCTGGGTTCCTTGAGGAGTCCCACAAAGAAAAAAAATATAATATGTAAATCAAGAAAGGTTCAAGACTTCACAGTCATCATGGGTTTAGCTGTCGTTCTCCCTTCCCTTGTAAGCCATATCCCCTTTATTCCTTATTGGTATTGGCTTACCATTTTGTGGTTAACCGCAAATAAGCATTTTTGTGCATTTTGTTTTTCGTTTCGTTTGGTTTTTACACTTTCCTAGACCGAAAGACCCCAAGAACTCAGTCATTTGTAAAAGTTTCGCTTTGGGTTAGAATCGTTGTGAAGCAGGTTCGGATCCTAGAAATGGAGTTAAATATTAAACAAATTGTAGAGTATTTAAACACTTTTAATTTGTATTATTTTAATTTTCATTTTATTAAAAAAATCAAGAAAAAGAGAACTAAATATACATACAAATAGCAGAATTATTCATAAACAATAAGAAATGTATTAAATTTTTCTTTTTAATTTTCTCTATTTTCCCCAAACCGCTCCTGTTTAGATTGGTTAACAAAAAACCGGCCAACTTGGCTTAGGTTGGTCCTGCCCGGCTGATCATCAATATATTCGTTTGGGTTTCCTTCGCTGGCATAAAAATGTTCACACTTTGCTGAATTTTAATGGCTTATCCGGCAGCCTTTATTTTGCCTTTCCTCTCTGGAATGGTTTGTTCTTTGCTTGCGTAATTTATTAAATTTCTTAATGCACTCAAGTTGGCTATCTGGGCTTTTACCTTGGCCCCTGTTTACCGGCCTTTCTCGCCGGCATTGCTGTCTTATTTAGACCAAATACAAAAAGGGCTATTTGGGGCAGGCTGTTTTGTCATGACAACCGCAGGGCAACGAATGTTTTCCTTACTTCCTCTAACAATTAGGCACGCAAAACTGTCAGTCAGTCACCCAGTGTAGTAGTCAGGGGCACGGCCAGGGGCGGTTTAGGGATCGGAATTGGAATAGCGAGAGCGAGAGCGGGAACGGGACAGGTGCGCCCCCAGAGCAATGTGCTGACACCTTTTGCCCAGGCGCTGGGGGTGTGGTCAGGGGGCATGTCATCGTCAGCATGACATGCGTGTGGGTTGCCCTGCGACGGTCGAGCGGCGGCTTATGTTTTATGGTTGATTGAATTGAAACGAGGGAAAATGGGTTGTGTATGGGGCACGACAAGGGCTATGTTTGGATTAACCCCTATATGTAAAGGTGTTACGTGGGAGAGCTAGACCTACTCGGGCTGGCCCGAAGGCATACTTGTCGGTTTTGCCCCCAAAAATTCTTAAGTATTTATGCACGTTCGTTGTTGCTGTGGTTTCTGTTTAACAAATCGAAGAAAATGTTTGTTGAGCAAACTTATTTGCTAAATCTATAAATTTCAAGCTTTAATTCAACAATTAATGCTTTAAAAATTACCTGGTCTATAAAAATCATAAATATAACTGAATAATTATCTGATTTGTCACACAGTAAATTTATAGTTTGAATTAGGCAAGGTAACCTATTTTAATAATAATTAAATTACATTAATTATTGAATTTACGAGTTATACAATTTCTTCTTCGAGTTTTAATATATTCAAAAAACTAAAAAAGTTATTTTTAGACGATTTCGTTAGAGGTACATGGTATAAACACAAAAATTAGCATGATTATCTTGATTTTATTCTTGTATTTGATTCTTCCTTCGTCAAACTTTTAATATCATATACATACTTTATATCTGGTATCTTGTTTTCATCTTTCCGACTCAATCATAATCATTTTGTTCAGTTCAATAACCTACAACAAACTCTTCAAGTCTTTGACTAATTTTCTCGCGTTTGAAAAGTATATTAGCATACGGATTTTGACTCATAAGTTTTGGAAAAGGCTTATTTCTATGATGTAATAACTGTTTAAAGTATAGCCATGAAATTCTTTTTTATATTCATTTGTACAATTTTTACTATAAATAGTTATTTTGGCTAAAAATATAATATTCATGGAAAGCTGTCAAATAGATAAGGAAAAATATATATCTTCTTAGCAATGTCTTATGCTATAGTTCTAAATATACAAAACATACTACACTTATCTTAAGAATGCTTAAAATTTGAAATTAAATATAAAAATAAACATAGAAAAATTCAGAACAAGGACAAAAACAACATACATGTTATCTGTAACAAGTTTAAAAGCAATATTGAAGACTATATAAGAAACTGGGTTACTCTGCTACACTTTTTCTTTAAGTGATAAAAAGAAACTATAACTCAATGGTATTATGCAAAGGCAAGACCTTTTGCCAAATATTTTATTATCAGCAAAAGCTATAAAAATAAATTTAAAACTTTGTTGACCCCTTTTCCCTAATTAGACCTGACAAATGTGAATGCTATGTGTGGTTTTAAATAAGTGATTCATTGGAGAATGTCTTACCTGTTTGTTTAAATATTATTTATTTTTTATAGCAGACTCATTAACATTGACATGCCTCTTTTATCGATTACAGATATACGTAAAGGAATTGGAAGTTCTATAACCCCGACTCTAGGTCAACAATTAAAAAGGTAAGCAAAGATAAATACATTAAAAGAATTTATAAATTGGAATAATTGGCAACTATTAGCAATTAGCAAATAAGTCACAACCTACCCCACAAGTGCACACCTTTCTTAGAAAAGTATTGGCGCTATTCAGGCGCCCAGTGAAACTCCATAATTAATCTTACCAGCACTTTTCCCAGGCTAGAACAACGAAAGTTTAGTTGTAATTAATATGTAAATGCAAAAAGTTGGTTCGGTTGGGACTGCGAAAAAAGGCAAAGTTAGAGAAAGGAGCGGAGAACTCGAAGGCGACGTCAGAAGCATTTGCACAAATCATTGGTTAACAGTGCCAGAGTTGCCTAATTGTTATGCAAAAGGGTTGTGGGCTTCTGACAGGCAGGCAGACAGTTGTTGTTGCCTCTGGTGGTTGTCTTAGCCATTGTCTGCATTGATTCAACTCTTTAAAACAGAATTGAACCTTTGATACAGTCCAGAGTCCACTTGGAAGTCGTAATTTAAATTAAAACTACACTGCTCCACAGAAAAAACATTTTTAAACTAATAGAAATTTAGGTAAAGTGTTTTACGGAGGTTTATCTTTTTAATATTTCAAGGGAGAATCGTTAAGTTTATCCAAAAGTTCTTGATAAATATTTGAATTCTTTAATTAACTGGATTAGTACTCTTAGGACACAAAACAATATATTAGTCAGTAGTGCACTTTGTCTAGAAGGGGCCTAAAATTTAATTAAAAATCGTTTGCCACTTGCCCCGTCACGTTTTCTGTGAATTTGTGTGTGTGTGTGTGTGTGGGCCGCCGCCTTGCATCTTCTGTGCAGTTTTTGGCAGTCTTCCAAGTGGCAAATGCCATCGATTCCCAGTACCAGGCTCAGCCAAGAGACGATGGCGGGACGAGGACTGTTGACGATAGAGGATGGCAGCCACTCAAACTTGACATCAACTTGGGCCACGGACTCGTGTCCGTGTGTGCGAGATAGTGCTCCGAGGACAAGGACGAGAGGCCCAGGACCAGGCCCAGGCGGCCAGGCACAGAGGCGTTGGTTCGGGTACGACAACAATGGGCGAAGGGCTCAAAGGAAACCAATTTTACTACTTATTGTCCTTAGCTAAGCTGGCAACGAATCAATCCTGTGGATCTTGCCTCATACCACTGACTAGGCTTGAGGTTGGCTCTAGGCATCCTTTTAAATGAATTAGAATATTAAGCTGCAGGCGCGTTTCTCATTTTGTTGATTACTTAAGAGGTTTCAAAGTTTTCAAAGATTATGCTGAATATGGAAATGCTCACAGAGAAAGTCAGTAAAACATATATGTTTAGCAGCTAGCTACTATGTAATACCTGTATTATGTTCTTACAATTGAAAAAATACATTTTCTTAGACCCAAATCGAGGAACCAAAATGTGCTTTTGTTTTGTTAATTTCGCTGTACTACATTTTTCTTTTTTACTGCTTTTCTTTTCGTGGAAAATGCCAAAGTATTTAAGTTTCTTGAAGCGCATATAAGTACCAACAAATTGCCTCCATGAACTTCTCACTGTTCTTTTCGTTTTCATTGTGCTTTTGAGAGAGAACTCATTAAAACTTGCAAAAGGAAAATCTCAGCATATTTCCACATGTCCTGGAAGTTAGTCTGTTTTCTTTAAAAATTCTCTTCAGAAATAGGACAGTTCTGACAGAGAATTATAAAAGTCTAGTGAGGGGAAAGTGAGAAGCAGATGAAAAGTGAAAGAAAACTCTGCGTGAAAATGAAAATAAATGTGCATGTGTAATTTATGTTTCCCTTTGTTGCCGGGCGCGACAGGAATCGTTAAGAAGAGAAACTTTGCCTCAGCGCCAAAACATACATAGTTGTTGTTTCCGTTTTTAATTTTCTTGCTGCCACGAGAGTTATTGTAGCTGTTTTAATTTATACCCAAGAGAGAGGCTGCAGTCGGCAGACTGGCTGCTTAAAAGGATTAGCATTGCATAAAACATGCAAAAGTCCTTGACCAAAAAACCTGCAAATTGGGGCTGCTTTCGCCATGTATATATATATATATATTTTTTTCACAAAAGAAACCGAGAGTTGGGACACACTGGGAAATCCCGTATAATTCGGTTAATTTTCACTGCACCTCGGAATCTAATTTCTGTGCATTATTTCAATAGAACCACCACACCTCTTTTCAGCTTGAAGTTTTAATTAAAATGCCTTTCGTAAACCCCTGCATAGGGTTGGCAACCCATCTCCGTACTTTGTCGACTTTCCCACTTGGTTGACTTTTTAGCCATGTTGGTTTATTCTGTTCTTTTTGGCCAACTCATCTCTCTTATTTCTCGTTTGTGGACACGCCACATTGTTGTATTTTGCATCCTTCTTCTTGGACTCGTTTTTTTGTTGTTGTGTCCCTACCACCATTGTTATCGTTTGTATACGAATTTTCTTTGCGATTTCTTCTTTCCTGAATCTTCTTCGTTCCGACATCGTTTTAGTAATTGAAAGGGGGTTTCTTTTAAGGTTTTCCTTCCTCTTTAGGGAAGAATAAGCATAGGGATAGTAGAAGAGAAATCTAAGATGGATGAGATTCGATTTCGACCTTTTAATGCATCTAAAACTGATTGGTTTCAGGACATTTAATCGCTTAATCTGATTTTATGGAAAGTTTTAAGGGTGTAGATGGATAAAAACTAAGATCTATGATCCAGAGAAAATATATTGTTTAGCTTTAAAATATGTTCAGCTTAAAAAGTTCCCCCAGTAAAGTGTAAATAACTTTTTATCGCAACAACCCAAGCATAAATCACCATTTCGTAAATATTTGTCCACAACAAAACATTGATTTAAATCGCTATTTACGATTCATATCGGTGCGTGTATTAATTTATATTATGGGCAAACAAAAACTTGGCTTTTTCAAACTTTGTTTAAGCGCCAGAAAATCCCCCAGGGGAGCCACCCAAAATTTATCGAATTCACCTGCCCCTTCCGGCCACCCGCAGCCAGTCGGTAAATCAAAGTGTCACCTCGAGAGAGGAGTCATCCGGGCAGCCAAGCATCCCGAGCATCCTGGCGCAGTTAACAAGCGAAAAAATAATGACAACAGCCCGACGTCGACCATCGATCCTGGCACGAACACACGCTCGCGCGCCCGATGGCTGGTAATATCATTAAAAACAAATTGAGCACATTAATAAATATGAGTTATGATTGTTAATAAAAAATGATGGCCATAGGGAAGCCGTATGGCCAGAGCGTGACCAGAAACGGGCGGAGTATCAGCAGCATACTTTCCGGGGACTTGCCACTCGTAATGTTCGGGAGTTGACACCTACTCCGTGCCACGCCCACTTGGGTCGTCGTGCAATAAACGGAGTTTGGTGGCAAACAAAGTAGGAAAAAACACTCGGTAACCGCCCTCAGTGTTGGTGTTGCATAACTTTTGGCGCTCCACCGAATGCGAATGTGTTTCAGACATCATAAATCAATTTATTTCGGGGCGGGGAGGGGCAATGGAAAACGAGTGGATTACGGGCAACCGACTTTCAGTGGTAAAAGTAAAATTGCAACTCTGATTTGGGGCCAAATTTTGTGGGGAATCGTAGGAAGCTTCCAATGAATGGAACGGAGTGCACCAAGAGAAATTAAAATCCTGAAATGGGAACAATTTAAAACAAGTGCAATTATCGGGAGTGCTTTATATATAACTAGTGGTTTTAAAACCCTTAAAAATGTGGTAAAAACTAAAATAAACTATATAAAAACTGTAGACATTTTTTGGAGATTTGAAACCCTTTAAAAAAGTGTTTAAAAGTATGCAATGCAATTTTTGAGATACCAAACTTAATTTGGTTTCACGATGTCGATTTGTTAGCTAAATTTTCGACATCTTTTAAAGTAACTAATGATTTCTGTATCATCCCCGATTAAATTAGGCATCTCAAACATTTTATTACAAACTATTTTACACCTTTTAGGAGAAATAAAATCTCTAAGAATTTGTAAAAATCTATATATTAGATATATACTTGTTTAGTAAACCTTTTTTCGGAGTGTCCTGCTGCTGGGGAAAATTATGAAAGAGATGAATGGACAGTGAGTCGCTCAGTTAAGCAGAAGCTCCTCCACCTTGAATGTGTTTTCTTTGTCGGCTCTCTTTACCTCTCTCTCCTCCAGACCATCGACCAAACAACTTTTCCATAACATAAACCAAGCTTTTAACTATCTCCTCAACGGCTACCTATGAAAGTTTTGCCTGGAACTTGGCCATAATTTTACCTCAAAAAAAGCCACCTTAATCCCCCATTTGCTACCTAAATCCTCGTAAACCGCAGAGCCCGCAAAACCGTTAACCGTTCATCATAATTGAGGCGAAAACCATTCTCAGCCGCGTTACAGCTCATCAGCTTTAATGTCAATCTCTGGCAGAACGGATGCCATTTTGTTTTTATTATTCACGCGCTCAGGCTGCAGGATCAGGCTCAGGCTCCATTCCGGCTTTGGGGCTTAACTACGAAAGCTCATCCCCCAGTGATTGCCTTCGCGGTGTCGGCACTAATAAAAGTTTTTCAGTCCTTCCTGCCTTCAATCAAAAAAACACCAAATTCTTTTCCCAGGACCTCCTCTCGTACATATATTTGTGTACAGGATTTTATATTGAACTCATTTGCGCTCGATTGCGTTTTAGTGATAACGTCAGCTTGTCAATTTTTTCCTCTTGTTGCTCAGCGCGAAAATTGACAGCCATGAATTACGTTGAGGAAAAGTTTTGCTTTCAAAAAGGGGCAGCAAGAGAGAGAGAGAGAGAAAAAGAAAAAAAGAAAATGCTGCTGGTATATGTCGGGGCCATCAGAGTCATCAATAAGCATTTGTAATGCTATCTGTGCGATTTGGGAGCCGTCATTTTCCCAGGCAGAAGAGCTGTCTTTGTGTGATTCTTCCCCGCCCGCCCAAATAATTGACACTTGTGTATCAAACCATCCCCCTTTTTTTTTTGCTTTGTCACTTGGCTTGGGTTTCTCTGA